TATCTTGCATCAGGTTCTTCAGCAATTCAACAATTAAAGAAGTCTATTATCATCAATTCCATTGCTGCATTAACAAGTTCATGTGCACAAAGTGCTGTTATATCTATATGACACCATTGGTCATACATGTCCTTGAGAACGCAAAAGAGACCAGAACATGACAAAATTCTAAATTTCCCAGATATTTGAAAATATGCCACATTCTAAATGGCTCTAGATATCAGTTAGTAAAGTGGCTCTCACATCATAGCGATCATGAGTTACGTCTGGCTGTGAATACGAATAGCGGTCATAAACTTCAAACGCGACTATCGTGTAACTGAGTTGTAAATTGTGTTCGGAACTCATGACCACTTTCATTAATTGCAACTATGCACAACCTAGTAATGGATATGGTGTGAGGGCAACTTTTGGACAACAATCTCACTTTAAGATTTTCATTCTATTCATAATGTCTCTGAATAGTTTAACCATTATTATTATAATCAAGAAAACATCAAATTGAAAGTTGTACATAAACACCAAGTAGAAGGTATCAATTGAAATCTCTTTCCTATCCTGAAATACTCTATAGGCCAATAAATTACCGTAGTGTATTTTATTAATGAGAAGATAAACTACCCTAGTTATTGTACAAACCTATACTTGGTACACGTACAGTATTGATTTTTGTACACTTTACTAGCAAAATGATCTGAAATTTTACTTGACATCTTTTCATATACACTAACACTTTTGGCTAAAAGAGCATCTAAGGAAATGTTCGAAGACGAAAAATTAAAGACCAGTAACCGCATTAAATCTTTTTCTTGAATGTGAGAGCTTAATTTTGAATTATCTGTTGAATCATACAGGAAAAAAAATCGAAAAAGAGCAAAACTAATATTGATCTCTGATATGAATGTAACATACCAGTATACATAATGAAACAATTCTTATGGATTACAATTACTAACTTTATTTTAGAGACGTTTCGACCAGTGTTCTCTGGTCTTTATCAAGCAATGAATATTTGTCATATCGCTTATAATATGAAATGTCTTTGAAGTAGTAAATTGATCAAGTAGTTCCTATTCTCTTTTCACAAATTTAGCACATTCCTTTATGCCAAATACAAATCTATACCAATAATAAGCAACAGTTAAACTGACAAAAGAATTTAAAAAGTGGACAAAATATATAGAAAAAACACTTCATATTTACTGTATATTATTCAATGTTACTTTTAAAATTCATTATAAATATATAGCTTTTAATGTATTATTCCTATTTGCTTAGTCTCTATTGATAGAAAAATAAATATGACATATGGACAGGGGGAATTCTATTGGGTCTTTATACTATTATAACAATTAGTGTCAATAATTCTATTCAAGCTAGGTAATGGAGCATAAAATATAGAGAATTACTGACCACCAGTAAATAATGTTACATCTGGTACCAAGGCTGTTCATTTACAAAGCAATGTTGCTTTAAGTGCTGTAAATGGTTACTGATTTTCCTCTTTGGAATTCTGAATCAAAGTTTTATCTTTGAGGGATTGTAAAGAAATTTTCTAAACTTTGTATGTGTAATATGGACACTGATAGCAGTGATTTGCACCATTCTAATTATGGCTTTATTATTATTCTTATTTGTCATTTTATTAAATAAAATTAATATCAGTGGAGAGCTAGGTCTCAAAAAGCATTATTTATTCTTTTTTTTGGCTAATAGTAGAATTTAAAGATACAAAAAGATACTGGTGTGGTGTATAAATCTATTGCAGTGGTATAAGTACCAGACAACTAACCCTGGGATTGTAACCCTCTCCCCCACCTAATTTAACTCCCTCCTTCAAATTTAATCCAATGTGAACAACTGAGAATCATTTCTCTTTAGATAAGGAAATATCCAAATTAGAATGAGCACAATCAACTACAACCATATCATCTACATGACAATATTATCTACATACATAGCCCTTAACCCTATAGTTGTTTACATAGTCAATATTTGATATCATCTTGCATCAAACTTTCATATACTAAGAGCTTACTATTTTTAATTTTAAACATTGACAAGCTTATTTTTCAGCTTTATGTAAACTCAACACAAAAAATTTCAGTTAGCCTTTTCCTACTAAATTATGAATGATTCTGTGACATACATATAGTGATATCATATTAGTCCTGAAGTGTGAAATTTGACTATCTTCACTTAAAAGGCACTTGAATTTTCACCACACAGCAAATTTTAAAATAAAATATCTTCATATGATTTCTGCATTTTTCAATAATTTGAGAAAGATGAAACCTTTTTTCAATATGTTAAAGAACAGTACCAATTTGCGCCAAACGATAACTGTTTCTTACAATTGTCATGGCCTAAAATCTGAACTTGCTCTGAATATGATTTTTTTATGCCCAAGATCCATTGGTGAAGTTTTAATCATATGATTGCAAACAGTTCTAATTTTGCATTAACATCTTGTGTGGTGAAAATTGGTATAGTGAGTAGTGTACATTAGGCTATTGATGCCCATGCTATTGATTGGCCATGCATAAAACTTATTCAATTACTACTAATTAGTAAAATTTGTTATTGTTCAATATCATTTCTTTTTGATTGTGTTGGTGTTGGTTAGCCATTCAACTTTGACAATGGTTATGTTATGCATTTCTTTGACTCATATGTTGGCTTAAAGTAAAATCAATATCATTTGTCTATTTATATATTCAACAATGACAATAATAAGTCTTGCTAGTGTATTTTATTTCAACATTATTATACACTTGCTTTTATCACCAATCTCTAATGTGCTTAATCTAATAGCTACATTTTAATTCTTAATTATATCATTTTAATCCTTTATTAGCTTTTATTCGGTGATTTACAATGAATTGTTTAGTGGTTGGCTCAACTGTCATTTCACACACTTGATTCGATTGCCGAAAATACATCTCGCAAAACGCCCGTATAAGTTCTTCTATTTTCGACAGTTTCTCTTGAATGAAACAGAAAAATAAAATATCTATGAATGGAAAACAAAGTCAATATACCTTTCCGCCATCGCTGGCTTCTCAATTAACCCAATAATCCAATTATGATCACATAGTTTAACAATAACCTGCTAGTCGTATCCAAATAAAACATTTGTCCGCCATGTTTGTTACGGCGTTCGGTACCGATTTGACGTTTCGATCATTTGTACTAATATATACACATAATTACTAAATACATTGAAATTAGTAATTTAAACCGTTTAAAAATTAATACAATCCATATATTTGCATACTTTTCATGAAATTAACTGTTTTTGTAAGCCGGAAGTAGCAGGTGCCCGTTTGCGAGACTGTTATTAAATAAACTTCCGGTTTGACTATTGATTTAAAGAGGTGGTTGAATGGTTATATTTCATTTGTAAACATATTTTTAAATAACTGTTGTTATTGTGAATTATATTATTACGAAAGGGACTCAATAGAGCAAAACCTTAATTTGAATATTTTTAGATGAAGATTTTTGTCTATAGTTCCTCTCAATAAGAAAATTATGCATTTGTTTGATTTCTCTTTAGCGTTTGTTCCATCAGAGTTATGTCCCATTTTGGATCACCATTACATAAAAAACAAACTTCTTTATTTTGCCGGCATTAGGTTGGAGTTGTCCTCTGATAACAGGTACCAAGAGTTGAATGAAATTAAATATTCAAAATGTCTTAGAACTGAGAGATCAATGAATATCTGATGACTGATATATGTGTCAAGTTCTATTTACGTTATGTGATGCAACACTGACAAGATAACTTATTTGATCCTATCGTCATTTAGTAGGACGGCCGGTGTTATTTGTGAAGACCTCGTTAAACCAGAGTTGATTAGAAAACTGACCATATATGGATGGAAAAACAAAAGCATTGTAGTTGTATGGCATTTTAATGTCTGTTGGCTAAATTGTCAATAGTAGGACATATCTTTAAAAAAAAAATTGAGGGTCAAAATATGGGACTAAGTTCAGAGAAATTATCTAGGCCTAATTCTAAATAGCATACTTTATTCATGGATGGACATTGACCTATTTGATTCTGTGCTGTAAGTTTTATGTTTGTTCAATGATCAATCAGCTCCAATGGCTTAGATCTATATCTTACCTAGGCTACATTATCATTATAATAATTTGAAATTGTGGCTTGTTTGAAAGGCTCCAGTGTATTTTAGGAATTGTAGTCATACTATGCTGAGCTTCTTCAGAAATCTCATATTTCATCAGAATGTGACTTTGGATGACTTGGCATAATTTCATTTGCTTATTTGCAGAATATAACTGAAGAAATTAACTTAATTGACATTTATATATTTTGCCTCTTCCAGAACATCTACACCTAATGATAATATATATGAATTAGATCATAGGAACTAAAGTAAAGGTAGGTCTAAGTGATATTGATTTGAATACATGTATATCGTTTTCATCAATTTAAGATATTTTTTTAATATTAAGATTAATATATTGGATGAGCTCTTGTCTAATAATTGACTTTTTCACTGGACTTTAATTGAGATGTTTTTAGATTTGCTTCAACAAAATTGCTGTTGTGAAAAGGTTTGAATCTACTGTCCTCAAACTTTCGTTGGTAAATTGAAGGCAACCAATTATTTCAGAAAGTTAAGAGTAAATAAAATGTATAGTTTAGGAATTGACATTTTTTAATTTCATCAGTGCATAGTCTTTTTTACACTATCGTTTAATACTATTTTGATTTTATTCTACTTTATATGAAAAAAAAATCAGAATTGCAATTCAAAATTTAGCCCAAATCTAGTAGTTTACTTAGAAATAAGTTTAATATTATCTCCCAAGATTGTGAAAGATTTATGTTTATGATGAATTTAAAGTTAAAATTTTTATAAGAGGCTCTGCAATTTAGGCACCTATATTCATAGCCTGGAGAAAAGACACAGGGTTCAATATCCAACAAACCAGTTTATATTACCCTCTATGTTTCAGGATTAGTCAAGATGGCACCTCCAGAGGATACTGAGAAGTCACCCACAAGATCTAAATATGTTAGTTTAGAAAATGGTGATATACAGGATAATGATAGTGAAACAGTTATAGAAGGCCAACATTATTATACTTTACCTACCTTACGATTTATTAATATTGTTAAAATTATTATATTTATTGATGGTATATTATCTATTGTATTATGGCTTACAGGTGAGAATCTGGTTTTTTCTTTAAGATATGAAAAATAACAGACATCCAGTTTTAACTATGGAATTAAAGGGACAGGTTTGCCATCCTTTTGACCAGTCTCAGAAACTAAGCTAATCAATAATAGTGTTCACAAGTCACCATCCAAATTTGCGCCTTCAAATCCTTGCTTGAACAAAACTATCCACATATAAAAGACCACTTGTTTTCTTTTGATACTCAGCCCTTTATAGGAAAGACATATATAGAAATATAACGTGTAATTTCTAATTTGAGGTATATTTGAAGGTATTATGTTATTATTCATACAGTTCTAGAAGTTTTGAAGACTATTTACATATTTTCAAGACCCAAACAAACCCCGAAAATGGCAAACCATGAAGGAGCACGACAACAATGTTAGACTGTACATATTCTCATTTATCATTGTGTAATGCCTGACAGTATGCCTGAAAAGTAATTGTTGTGGTATTGGACAAGGGAGATAATTTGATAAATTTTCATTTTTGCTTTCAGGTGGACACACAAAATATTTTGTAGACAACATAGTTCATTTTCATCTAACTGAGTCAGTGTTTGATTTAGCTTTAATATGTAGTATCAAATCAGTTCTATATATGATTTTATATACATGGCTGGAAGAACTAACCTTAAAATTCACCAACTGTCCTTTTGATCAAGACTTGAAGACTAAGACAAGATATGCTCACTTTGGAATTGTGTTTATTGCCATTGCAGTACTTACATACACAACGACTAAAGGTGGATTAGTGTTAAATGCGTATTTAAATAAAAAAGACTATAGGATAATGCATCCCACATATAATGCCTTAGTAATTAGTGCGTTTGTGTTCAGCTTCATTCAAATTATCTGTGCCTTATACAGTTTCGTTGCCATGAGAAAATTAAAAGTTTTACGCATATTACATCGGTTGAATGATGATGGAGAGGAAGTTGATGCAGACGGCAAACCTATCAAGAAAAAAGCTAATATTTTAAGATTGATCAAATTAGCTAAACCTGTAAGTAAATAACACTTTCTATGGTTTTTGTTTTTAGACAATTCCTCATTATTTCAGTAAATCCAAATAGAGCAGGTAAGATGAAAAAGGTTGTGTTTATCCCTGTTTCTAAGTTAAAGGTATTGTAAAGAGGTTTTCAAAACTTTTTATGTATATCCGGGACACTGATAGCATCAATTTGCACCATTCAAATTTTCATTCCGACGTCTGGTTCTTGCAATTCCAGTAAAACTAAGTGTTTTATGACATCACTAAAGGGGAACTACATAGATATTAATAGTAGTTTCCAGTAGCTCCCCTCTAGTGACATCATAAAACGTGTTAGTTTTAGTGGAATTGCAAGAACCACAGACGTCTGATTCAAAATTGGGATGGTGCAAATTAATGCTATCAGTGATATACATGAAAAGTTCAGAAAACCTCTTTACAATCCCTTTAAAATTTTCCTTGGGACCTTTTACTAGAACTGTAGATTTCAGGGCTGACATTGAAAAAGTGTCTAAGCTTAGAATGGCATACTGAAGTGATGCATCAACAGTTGGTAATTGAAAGAAAGTTGGCATATTCAACTTTTCTAATGATAATAATACTATATTCAAAATACTTTTATAGGAAGCGGGAATCATCAGTTTAGCATTTTTCGCTATGTTGGGTTCAAGTGGTGTACAAATTGTAGCTCCTCTGTTCTTTGGTAAAGTTGTAGATGCAGCTCAAAGGAATATGGGTAGGTAAAAACACTAAAATTTCAGATCAGTAGAGTCAAGTAGCTTGACTATTCTTTATTCTTAATTAAGGCGATGTTCAGCAAATGAAACATGCAAATGCAAAGTTCCATACAATGGAGTGTATTTCAAATTAAGAGTTTTGCTTTATGATGGAACATTAGATGCCAACATTTAATATTGCTACCTTAAAGGCCAGGGGTTAATTATGTCTTTTCTATATATATGGCAGAGTCTCAAGAAAAGACGAGTCATCATTTTGAAATTCAAACGTGGATAATAATGGATACACATGGATTTGAAGGCTCAAATTACTGCACACTATTACTGAAAATGCTCCTTTCTGAGACTAAGGTACGATTGATCAAACAAATTGCGAATCTTGATTTGATGCACCTAATCCATCTCACCTATTGGTATGTTTATTACATGTAGATAATTTCTCCTTTCAGATGAGTTAAATAATACAGTGTTAATCTTATTATTTATATATATGGGCGGTGCATTATGTTCTAGTGCCAGAAGTTGGATATTTACTCTCGCTGGCCAACGTGTGGTTGCTAGGTTACGTAAAGATCTATTTAAGTCAGTTATAAAACAGGAAGTGGCATTTTTTGATACAAACAGGTAATGATAAATTATTTATCATTTTTTGAATTCTTAATTTCTAATTTCAATTAATATGACCAACGTATCTTGTTAAAAAACCCTTGTGACCAGACTATTGTAGCCAATTTATCAAAATATTGTTACTGTGACCAATTTAACATGACCATTACTGCTTCATGTTGTAATATTGTCATTGGTCATGTTGCTTCATGGTTCAACATGACCATATTACTGCGTCATGGTTCAACATGACTATATTACTGCGTCATGGTTCAACATGACTATATTACTGCGTCATGGTTTAACATGACTATATTACTGTGTCATGGTTTAACATGACTATATTACTGTGTCATGGTTTAACATGACCATATTACTGTGTCATGGTTCAACATGACCATATTACTATGTCATGGTTTAACATGACCATATTACTGCGTCATGGTTTATCATGACCATATTACTGTGTCATGGTTTAACATGACCATATTACCATATCAGCGCTTAGAGTAATTTTTATTAGATAAGCGCTTTATAAATGCTTTGTAATAAATAAATAAATTACTGAGTCATGGTTCAACATGACCATATTACTGTATCATGGTTTAACATGACCATATTACTGAGTCATGTTTTAACCTAAAAAAAATTGGGTGTCTTATACCAAATCACAATAAGATTAATCATTTAGTGTACATTTAGAATTATTTGTATTGTTTTTTCATGTTTAGAACTGGTGAAATATGTAATAGATTATCTTCTGATACACAAGTTTTACAAAATGCAGTAACAGTAAGTATGGTTATAAAAGTTTGAAATTTCCTGATTTTACACTATTATTCTGTTCCTGAAAGAAAATCTAAATAAAAAATCAGTTGAAAATATGATTTGTATTTCAATTTTTCTTTGTAGGTTAATATGTCCATGTTGTTTCGGTATTTACTACAAATAATCGGATCACTGGTATTAATGTTTGTATTAAATCCATCATTAACTGGTGTACTAATAGCAGTAGTACCTATTGTGTCCTTAGGTGCTGTACAATATGGTAGGTATATACTAATTACATTGATATTTCATATACTATGGTGTTTCATTCCCTCACACTAAATACACTGTATATGAACTATCAATGCCATCTCTACAGCTGGCCACAAAATAAACACAAAACGAGGCAACACAAAAAATTCATCATGTTGGAAGTACGAAGGTGACATCCAGTAAAATGATAATTATTTACTGACAATTTATCCTTTTAGCTTTACTATTTACAGATTTTTTCACTGTCAATTTTTATAATACAAATCTTTATCTATATTTGTACAGGTAGATATTTAAAGAAAGTAAGAAAAGAGTTTCAGGATAGATTAGCAGACGCAGGAACTACAGCAGAAGAATCTATTTCTAGTATAAGAACTGTGCGATCATTCTCAGGAGAAACTAAAGCTATTAAAGCCTATGGTTCTGATGTTGATAAAAGTTATAAAGAAGGCTCCAAGCTAGCTGCTGCTCAAGGTAAGTGTTTTATAATTCGGGCATATGAATGAGATTGGTCGATGATTTTTGTCGCCAACTAGAGCTTTGTCAAGAGTTTCACCGACCGGCTGCGGACACACGAGGAGACAAAAAAATCTCCAGCCTGTGGTTTTCGTCTATGTCAATAGTCATGTGCAGATCATGCAAGTGAAAGGAAAATGAATCTGATTGGATGAGGACGGTCTGTCTTGCAGACGATTAAACAATCGGCGACAAATTTTAAACTGGTTTGATATCATAAATCCTGTTGGCAACACAATAATCTTGTCATGGAAGCACAGGCACATGTGAAATTCAAGAGTTGGACGTAAAATTCCATTCATTTCATTTTGAAACATAAATTTGGTATTACTTCATGGATGATGAAGCTGGATTTTCAATGGATTTTCGTGATTGACCACTAAGATGAAATGTTGAACTAAGAGCTTTGAGCATGAATATAATTAAGAATTGTTTGTTAAGGGCCTTATTCTCAAAAATTTAACTAAGATCCAAAACCAGATTTTAATAAATGGGAATCTGATTGGATAATGAAATCAGCAATGAAAGTTAAATTTTTTAGAATAAGGCTCGAGAGCATTTGAGCATGAATGTTTTTTAGAAGTCTGATAAAAAAATTTTACATTGAATTTTTTAGGGTTATTTGATGGTACTATTGGACTACTATCCTATGGTGCTGTATTGTTAGTATTATGGTATGGTGGTAAATTAGTCTATGAAAATACTCAAGATTCTAATACTGGTATTTCACCAGGTGTCCTAACATGTAAGTTGCACAATAATTCTCATGTTTAAGTTGTCTGTATAGTTGACACCAAGCTGACCTTTCAAGCTGAATTTTTTAACCTGAATGCCAAAGACACCAAAATCCAACAAGGAACTAGCTACGCTTTTAAGGGTAATTGAGAAATAGAACAGATACATGTACAAGGATTTAGGCCATGTATCAGATATCAAGCTTTTGTAAGAAGGTTATATGGTTAAACAGTTAATATGAACGAATGTAAAAGGTTAGAAAGCTGCTTGCCAAGCTTTGACCAAACAACAACTAGTACAGAATATCCTTGTGGACCAATTGTTGCCTTCAAATCTTTACATTGATTCTCTATCATTTTTCAGCCTTTCTTCTGTATACATTACAAGTGGCTTTAGCTTTTGCTCTTCTGTCTTCATTATATGGTGATTTTATGCAGGTATGTTCTTTTTGCATTAAAGTTACCCAAAGTTAAGATAGGATAGCGTACTTAATGATAGTATTCATAAGCATTCATTATACTTGTTCTTATGTTTTATACAATATCAAGCTGTTTCTCTAGAGATTTTGTTGAATGTATTTGAAACTCGGGAATGAAAAATAATATTTATTTATTATAGGCTTTAGGTGCATCTTTACGTATATTTGAGTTATTTGATCGTAAACCTTTAGTTAGCTCTGAAAATGGTGATATTTTACCTATGTTTGATGGCCGTAAGTTTTCATTTTCATCTGTTGTCATATAATTTCACAGTTTGAGAAATATGGGATAAAAGTATGCCTTTCCAAATAAAAATTAATTTTGCTGAAACAATATTTGACCTATGTTTGATAACCATAAGTTTATTGCACTCTTGTTATAAATATCTTTTGGTTAAAGAGTAAATTTGTAATTTGACAAACATCATCTTGAACAAACTTGAAATGTTTTTTTCAACAATTGAATTGAATGCTCATTTTGAGAATCAACTCTGATTGTGTATTTCAGATGTGGAATTTAAAAATGTCCACTTCACATACCCTTCAAGACCAGAAACACCTGTAATCAAGGTAAAATGATTATTAATTATTACATTTATGTTGTACATGTAGGAGTTTCAATTTGTATTTTTCCTTCCCCTTCTCCTTTCCGTCTTTTTTATTTGTCTATTGCCCTTTCTAATTGTCTATTGTCCTTTCCATTTGCCTATTGTCCTTTCTTTTTGTATATTGTCCCTTTCATTTGTCCTTTCCATTTGCCTATTGTCCTTTCTATTTGTATATTGTCCCTTCTATTTGTCTATTGCCCTTGCTATTTGTCCTCTCTATTTGCCTATTGTCCTTTCTATTTGTCTATGTCCTTTCTATTTGTCTATGTCCTTTCTATTTGTCTATTGTCCTTTCTATTTGTCTATTGTCCTTTCTATTTGTCTATTGTCCTTTAAAAAGAATATGAGCTTTAATTTTTGGATGACAATGATATATGTATTACAGGGTATTAATTTAACTGTTAGTCCTGGACAAGTTGTAGCTCTAGTTGGACCGTCTGGTGGTGGCAAGTCTACTATTGTTAGTTTAATAGAAAGATTTTATGATCCTGATAGTGGTTCTATTTCTCTAGGTAAATATACCATTCTTTTTCAATTTACTTTGCATTAGTTATTGAGATTGAATAAAGATAAGACATACCATGCAGTGTGCAATGAGGGAAATTTTGCCGGTCTACTCTTCAATTTTAAGCTGTCAAGGGGTCTTTAATGTGCACAGCCTGTAGCACACAGGGCATCGGTTTATATTCCCCTCCTAATGATATGTCAGCACCAAGACCTGCATCACTAGGGTAAAACTTTTATAACTGAACCTATGTTTTTTTGTCAATTTTAAGTGTATAATATATTGCCTATCTTTAAGGTGGTCAAGATTTAACTAGTTTAGATCCTCAATGGTTTAGACAGAAGATTGCTATGGTTAGTCAAGAACCCACATTATTTGCCTGTTCTATCAAAGAAAATATAGCTTATGGTAGAAATGCTACAGATGCTGAGGTAAGACATTCATGTATTACCACAAAACTTTAGAGGACTTAAACCCTGTCCTTGTATCAATAAGCAGATGGGAACCTGGTTCCCTTTTTCCAAATAGCTTTGTATCATACATTGCATCCAATCAAATGGACCATTTTCTTTAGAAAGGGATTGCAGATACTATTTTTGAGTTTCATGCAAATTAAACTTAGTGTTAACGGTTTGAAACTCATGCGACATCATGAATATTCATTACCTAAGTTGCTAATACCAGGTTAACCTGCTACAATGAAATATAGTAGAAATATGACAGCACAACTAGATGAATTTGAGCAATATATCGGAATTATTGTAGATTGTAGAAGCAGCTAAACAGGCTAATGCTCATGAGTTTATACAAACATTTGAGAGTGGTTATGACACATTAGTTGGTGAGAGAGGTGTTAGGCTATCTGGTGGACAGAAACAACGTATAGCTATCTCTAGAGCTTTAATTATGGATCCTGTTATATTATTACTTGATGAGGTATGTATATTGACACATAAAGGGTAAAGGCCAGCCTCTTTAAATTTTGCTATCCCACAATTCCTCATTTTTATTAATAAATGCATGCATATCCAGAATTATCTGTGTTTGAAAGTTAAAAAGATGACTTGTCTTTTCTGGATACTTTGTGATATACAGAAAAGACATATATAGAAATAAAAAGTGAAATTCCTAGTTTGAGGTATTTTTGAAGGAATTATGTGATTTTTGTACATTTCTAGTACTTCTGATGACTTTTTACATATATTCAAGACTCTGATCAACCCCAAAAATTTCAAACCTGTCCCTTTAAAGAAAGAAAAGTGTATGGAAATTGAGCAAATCAAAAACCTGTCACCTGGTTATTCTAGAACTATAAAATGTCTAGTTGATTATATGATTATGATCATATATTACTTATTTATAGGCTACTAGTGCATTAGATGCTGAAAGTGAACATTTAGTACAAGAAGCTATTGATCGTGCTATGAAAGGTCGTACTGTAATAGTTATAGCTCATAGATTATCTACTGTTAGAAATGCTAATAAGGTTAGTATATACATTATTTTTATATGTATGTATGTATGATCAGTAGAGAAGTCAATGTTGGCATATTATGCGTGATAGATAAGAGCATATGCATGGTTAGTTGAAAAGTCAGCATTGGCACATGTATGATTGATGGAGAAGTCTGAGTTAACCTATGCATGGTTAGAAGAGAATACAGAATAGAGAAGTCAACATTGATATATTAGTCATGATCCATAGGGTTCGCATGATCCCTTGAGAAAACAAACTGGACATAGGCATGATTAAGTGGAGTCAGCAGTTACATATGCATAATCAGTAGAGAAGTCAGCACTTTCAAACACTTAATCAGTAGAGAAGTCAACACTTTCAAACACTTAATCAGTAGAGGAGTCAGCACTGTCAAACACTTAATCAGTGGAGAAGTCAGCACTGTCAAACACTTAATCAGTAGAGAAGTCAGCACTGTCAAACACTTAATCAGTAGAGAAGTCAGTACTGTCAAAAACTTTAAATGTAGAGAAGCCATTGAGGCATTGACATAAGCATGATCAGTAGGGAAGTCAGCTTTAACATACTCCTAATCATGATCAGTAGAGAAGTCCGCATTGACATACGCATGATCAGAAGAGAAGTCAGCATTGACATACGTATGATCAGAAGAGAGGTCAGCTTTGACATACGCATGATCAGTAAAAAAGTCAGCATTGACATACTCCTAATCAGAAGAGAAGTCAGTATTGACATACTCATGATCAGTAGAGAAGTTGGCATTGACATACACATGATCAGTAGAGAAGTCAGCTTTGACATACTCATGATCAGTAGAGAAGTCAGCATTGACATCAATAGAGAAATCATGGTAAAACATGATCAGTAATTGAATTGCAATTACAGAATTTCTAAACCAATAAGTAATTTGTGTTTTATTTTATCTTCAGGTCATAGTTATAGATAAAGGTCTGATAGCAGAACAGGGAAGTCATGATGAATTATTAGCTGTTAATGGCGTCTATAAACGATTAGTTTTACGTCAACTAACAGCTGGTGGCATGATGGTTAATAATGGTAACGATAATAGTACTGAAGAAAATAACGATTCAGAACAAAATACTAATAAGGACCATGATCAAGATACTATTCAACAATTAGACTAAATTATTAATTATAATTAATTTGGGTAATAAATATTAGGACAACTGTCTAAATTTCTGTTTTTTAGCACATACACAGTAAATTTTCTTTTTGTGTAAAAGAAAATAATTTTTTAACTTAAAAGGGTAATCTTATGAAAGCCATTATCTCTACTGGTATGTGTTTACGGTTAACATGGTATCACTTTGATAACTCAAGGTGGTGTGAGTCAGTTTTGACACTTGTCCCTTGATAAGGCAGACTAATACTCTAAGACAGTTCAGCAATAATCTTTCACATGGGGTAGAAACTTTTGTTTCAATGAATCTAATTGGCTTACAAATACACTTTTGTCAAATCAAACTACAGTCTGTATTATTGAATTGTTAGATCAAGGGTTAGATATTGAATCTGACTCATATACCTTTGTGATGTCATTTACATGGTAAATGCAATATATGACTGAATGAATGAATAAATGATTACCTGTGTTATGTTTTTAAATGTATGTTGATTTTATTATGATATTAATCTATGATCAAAAAATATTTGATTTTTACAAAAATGACTTTTAAGTGATAAAGTCCTTTAATTTTTCACTTTATGATAATATAGTTTTGTATTTGTTACCTCTGGCACCTTACATGAATAGTTAGAAATAATAATATTTAGCATAAAATGAAAGTTGGTGCAAGTTTGAGTGAAATTCAGGTTAAAATGGACATTACTTGATATGTTATTATTTATAGGACAGTACATTAATTAGGTTTGAAATATCATTTGGCAGCTTTGATTATCTGAAAAAAATTTCAGATCTATGGTTTGAATAAGCAGGCTTGATGGAATAATAATCAGGGCCCTGGATCAAGAAAAAATATGTCTAATTTTGATCTTAAATCTGAGATTTGGACTTAATTTTTTTTTCTTGAATCTGGGCCCAGTTTAAAGATATTTATGTTCATCCTTGGAGAGGAGCATAATATACTGAGAAGCTGAAAAAATCTGCTCTGAGATGGTCACATATTTTATGTAATTATGGGAGTTCAGTCTGAATATTTTAAGACTAGACCAAAATTATTTATAAATTGGTCCAAACATTTACAAAATGAAAAGTTAATTGTATAATGGATGAAGAAAACCTGCAGAATTTATTTGATAGAACATTTTGTAAATCCAGTCAGACATGTTTGGACTTATACCTCCATCAACCACCATGATAAGCATGTAATAATAAAATGGCAAGTTGGTGCTAGCCAATGTGATATCACATTTTTCTACTTAATTATAGTTTATTTGTATAGTGTTTTTGTCAGTTTTTATATAAAAATAGTTGCCAAAACTTAGATCATTCCATTTCATTCATGGTCTTATACCTTGACTTCAAAAGCCAAGGGTAGAATAAAGCCAATCAGCGAGAAAGACTTAACATTATGGCATATTAATATATATTAACTTTATGCTGATTGGCTGTATGTGCTGGTGTATAATCCAATCAATTCACTGAATTCATACACTGTCTTGATGCAAGACCAGTGTCTATTGCACTCAAGGTATAAGATGATGTTTGATGTATGTAATCAGGCCACCCATAAATAATAGTATATATTGACATTTTACTTTGTCAAATTTTACTGATTTGGTATGTGTAAGCTTATGTTCATTGGAATACCTGTTTCTTTCCTGTTTTAGACAGAGTTGCTAACACACACACATATATTGTCATTTTGATAATTTTCACTTAATATAAAGAGAAATTTATGGTCCAAATTTTGAGAAAAAAAATTGTTCAGAATATCATTTTGACTAATCACAAAATCAGTAAAATTTGATTTACTAAAATGCAAAGACAACAGATCAAGTTTCTTACTAATTTCAAAGAATTTAACAAAATAACATGGCTTTTAGTGAAATAATCTAAATATTGCATGAACATGATCAAATGGCAAACTAGAATTTTTAGAACGTAAAGATTATGTGATTTTTTGATGTTATTTCATGTTTTTATGTTTATTTTTATCTTTAAATGAAATAAAAATTTTGAGAAATATTCTGTCGACTCTGCTCTCATAGTACTATTAGAATATTCACATTGTTGATTTCTCAATGCTGTTCATTGAGTTTGCTAATTTTGCCACCATTTCCAAACTACTGCAGATGAGGTTTCTTATGGGAACATGTCTCTGCATTTGTCTCCAATGGAAAAATGGTTATTTCCATCCACTTGTATTGTCTGCTATCAGTGCATTTTAATGTCTGTTAATGTCAAACTCATAGCTATAAAAATTTCCCATTTGTTTGACAAGATTATTCAATAATCCTTCTCAAGTATTTAACTGTTAATATTTTGCCACAAAAATTTCATATATATTAAGCTCACCGAAGGACATATTTACTCTCGTTTAAAGGGATGCTGCCATATATAGAAAAAACATCTATAGAAATAAGAGAAGAAATTCCTAGTTAAAGATTTTTTTGAAGGAATTATGCAATTTTTGTACATTTCTAGTACTTCTGAAGACTATTTACATATATTCAAGACTCAAATCAACCCCCAAAAATGACACACCCGTCCCTTTAAATTGTACAATAAAAAGACAATTTGATTTAAAACATATTTATCTCAATATTTTATCAGGGCAATTATAACAAATTATATAAGAAATCACAAATAAGATATGTCAGTTATAAAATACATTATAAATAATAATAATAACAATAACAAAATTATATCATTAACAAAATAAATCATAATAAATCAAAATAAATTAACAAATATTTAATCAAATTACATGTAGTATAGTTTTGATTTATGAAATTGTAAAATATAGTTTTCAAACCTAAGATAAAAGCTAAAATTACCATAAATATAGGCATTTATATATTTGCGTTGGCATTCAATAGAGCTGAATTTCAGATATCCATAACACTTTTCATAAATTTTGAAGGGATTTTCATATAATTCGATAATTTGAATGGATTGTACGCTAGTGAATACAGCCAATCATAATCTCTGATTACACACACAGCCAAATTGTCAACCATCTTTCTATCAAGGGCACTGATTGGCTATATTCGGTACAATCCAACCAAATCACTACATTTACAAACTTCTGTGATACAAGAAAGGTGTCTATTGTAGTCAAGGTATTGGATACAGTTCGTATTGAAAAGTGATACTTCTAGATGAAATCATCTTGACTGTAAATATTTTGACAATTTCTGTATTCTGGTCCATAATCTTATTTGGTTTTGATTTGAAATATTCTGCAAATGGCCTATGTACATCATAGAAAATACATTATGTATTTAAAGACATGTATGGTACACATACCGATGTAGTAATGCACCCAAACAAGTTTAAATTGGTTGGCAAAAAAAGTTTTGTTGGAAAAGTGACTAGTTTTCAGCCAGGCTTGTCCAACAAAATTTAACAACTTGATCGAAATGAAAAAGGAAATCTGACTCATGCGGATGGGTCTATAAAAAATAAAGTAAACAACATATTAAATGCATATGTTTCCGAATCTATAATTAGTAATGGTCTAATGGACATCATGCTGATTTGATCGGATAAAATTGATAATATGGGGATTCAAAATAGATTTCCTGGTCCCTTCATATCTCGGGCACCTATAGAATATAATACATCTTTTATTACCATTTAAACATTTGTAATTTTGGAAAATTATGATGATATTGCTGCTAAGGTGATGTTGTTTTTCTGGAACATCAAGGTCTCAGACAAGAAATCAGAAGAGTGCACATCTAGCCCAGCAAATCTGATCCTACCCATTCCCCGCCCCAGGTCATGAGATACGGAGGGGATATCGACATGTTTAGGGCCAGATATTAAACAACATTTTTTATAGGAATTACTTTGACCAAGCTTTGTATAGCTATAACATTTACGCAAAACTTGGCTTTAACATAAATGAACCTGCAGATATCCCATTCGTATATCTTGTCTGAGGAATTCGGTATGGCCAAATTCTATCCACATACAAGGGATAGAAAACTTTTTTTGAATTACAATATTTCATGAAATTGTTCCAAAACATCTAGCCTGAGCTATTATATATATATAAACTTGTTTCTTTCAAAATATAGGATGTCGTCCTTGACTATTAAGAAATAACCCAAATGAAACAATAACATAAACAGGCTTATTATTCTGTATCTGATACTTTCTGTCTACCAAAAATATTTCTTAGACTTTCTTGTTCCTTTTCACCAAAACCAATACATTCTAAATAATTCTCCACAGAGCCATACCTAAATATACAAATATAGAAATCATTAAAATATAATGTGATTTATAAATAGGTATTGGCGAGCCAAAAGGGGTTTGCCAGTTCCAATGAATGGCTTTTTCAGATATAATTTCAAAATTTATTCATTTGATAGCCAGTTTCTGAACATATATATTTTGCTAATTTTTTTGCTTTTTTAGAAGTATTTTCAAAATTAAAACACGATAACTAGCTATTGACAGCTGAAATTCAGACCTACACCAGAAAATTTTAAACCATTCTTTGATCACTATTACTTATTGCCATTGCAAATAAAAATTTCAAATGACTTCAATGTACAGTTGTACTTACATTTCACAAATATAGTTCAATAACTTCATCATGGTGTCTGCTTCAGCTGTCACAAATTCTTCACTCATATGAAATCTTTTAACAATTTCTGTATACAGCCTATCTTTCATACTAGTTGTACCATACTGAGAGGGGAGAAATAAATACATCTATATTGAAATGCATGACTTTTGAAAATATCAGAACATGTTTTGAAGCAATCTAGGATACTAGGTCCCCCTTAAATTTTTTGGTCTCTTGAGACGTTGGCCTTGATGTCATAGTAAGTACTCAGTATCTCTATATGCAATTTTGTATTTTATATTCAGAGATTTCATATCTTTGGGATGTGAATGCTTGATTATATTATAATTGCATGAGGGATAAGGAAATTGCCTTAAAGTGACTCACTATTATTAAATAATAAACCTACCATAGATAAAGCATACTCATTGCTAACATAGCGTTTTGGAAGTTGAAGACAAGATAATACTAAAGCCGACACTAGTCCTGTTCTATCTTTACCATGTGCACAATTTATAAATACAGGATAGTTTTCTTTATTACTTAATAACTTTAATGCTGAAATATAGAATAGGTTAATTACTAAAAAATGACAATTTCCATCACAAGTGGCGCAGTGACCGAGATGAGTGCTGAAGCTTCCATATTGCAATGGGGAAATTCCTTAGAAAAAGAAGCTCGTAGATGCTATTTCCTGTGATCTGATATCTCAGATTTTATATTGTGATTTATTTTAAGTACCGGTACTAAATTGCTATTTTTACCTTCATGCACCTCTGAGACAACATTTTCCGGCAGTCCCAACAATGTTGGCCTAAATTGAATGAGGAACAAACATTTTTCATTCACAAGCATAAACCTATGGTTTAAATTCTTACCTGAGCAAATACTTCTCTGACTCATGTCAATCATATCTTTATATTGTCCAATCAAACCAGTCGGATTTAAGACGTTACGCGCAAAGAAACGAACAAAATAAACATAACCGGTGTTAAACATGATGTCAATGGCTAAAAATATCAATGAATATAGCTGCAGATACCATGGTGCCCTCTTAAATACAGTCCAAATATATTTAGCACTGAAAAAATCTATTAAAATATGGCTGCCATGGTTTTGTGTATTTTTGTCATCTCCAGTTTTCTGTGTAACAATTTGTTTTGTACTAAAATATTTACTATAAAATAAGTAGTCACGTTTGATAACTCGCTTTAAATTAACCGGTTCCCCTGGTCTGTAATTTCTTCCATGAGGAAAATTCACCTTATGTAACGGATAAATTTCATCCAAAAGTTTTTTGCCATTGGCCTTACTGTACTCCTTCTTGGATCTAAAGTCCAAAATATTTTCGATACCAAGCTTTTTAAAAGCTGACACTCCCTCCTCGTTCAATAAATCTGGTCGAGACGAACGGTAAATAACATATTTTGATGTTTCTTCTGCATCTTTCGATTCAATCTGCCATAAAATCCTCAAATTTGGCAAATTTGCAATTTCTCTAAAGGACTCCTCACTGGGGGCTGCCATCTTGTCATTCAGCATCTTGTCATGTAGAAATATTTCATTGGATAAAATTTTTTTAATTTATCGACAGGTGAAGGGAGGTAATAAAATTTACCGTTACACAACGTTAAGTTATATTCTGTCAAAAATCACAAAATTCAAAAACTTAAGAGCATTACAGAGATGTCAGGGGCCAGCGATGATTCGCTCGGTTCCGTTGAAGAAATAATCACAGTTAGAGAAATTAAGCAGCAGACGACACCTGTAATGTCGAGATCCGGTTTTTCTGTCGGCAGAGATCACAGTGATGATTCTAATAATCAATGGTCACCCGTACGAATACCGATGGATACAGTGAGTAAACTGCATTTTAATTTGATACCCTAGGATATATGGCCATTACGATAGGACATTGTGAAGTGAAATGCCCTTCAAATGTTACACATTATGATATTTTGTAGTAATGAGGTGTGAATTATTCATTTTATTAGGAGCTCAAAGCTATTGATCTGAAAAATAGTTAACTTAAAGGGACTTAAAGGGATTTTTAATTCTGCATACTTTCAATAATATGCATTAAGTAGAGCTTTTTTTATCCATTCATTTATTTATGGAAATTATAGAAGGTCCTCAGTTGATTTAACATTTCTTAAAGTGGTATCAGGTGTAGTTTGAGCATGGTCTGTCATGCTAGCGACTTTCAAAAAAAAAATTGAGTTTTTTTGACAATAGGCTACCTTCCAACAATGATAAGTGTTTGACTATTCCTTACTCTAATATATAAAGCTTACAGAAGACAGTTATAAGTGTAACAGGTCAATTGGACAAAATATGACCTTTGATCTCTTATAATACTCAAAATTTGATAAACTTCCAAATATATAACATAGGATTGATGATTTCATGTCAAAAAATAACTGAAGGTTCTTTTCTATTATCACACATGTGTCTAGTTCTTCTTAACTGTCTTGACTTCGCTGATGAAAAAATGGATGTGAATGATAAGATTCATGTAAGTTTAAAAAAGAATGAATTTGCTACCTTGCCAGGCAAACAGTTACAAATTTATTTAGATAAAATTTGATTTTTGCCAATCATCAAGAATGTAATTTGGCTTTTAATGTATTTTCAGCATGGAGGCGGAAATCTAAGAGGAGATAATCCATTTCCACCAATTATACCACTCAATGTCGGTGGTGTGATTTTTATGACGAGATTATCAACATTATTACGATATCCAGATTCTATGTTGGCGGCCATGTTTAGTGGTCGGTACCAAGTGGACAAAGACAAGGATGACCATTTTTTCTTGGACAGCAATGGAAACATCTTTGGACATATCTTGGAATATTTACGGCATGGAACTTTACCGCCATATGATGTGAGCAGCTTAGTTCATCGTGATGCTATGTATTATGGACTTATTGAACTTGCACAAAGGTTATCTCTGAAACCAGAATTAGCTGCGCTTGCAGTACGTGAGGCACACAGATCTCAATTTCCAAATTACCAGCAAATCAAAGAAAATGTGATAAGAGTAGGAATCGAAAATGCTACTGTTACCAAAACTGGCGGTGTCACAATTCATGCATTTCGTGCCGAATTTAAACCAAAAGTTCAGAACTTTAATCCAAAACATGGCTGCGTGGTTGAACAGGCGCATGTGACTATTGGACCATGGGAAGGTATGGCAGACGAAGAAGTGTTTATTCGGTGTTTAGAAAGTGATCTCATTGAAGAAGGCTTCAATATCAAACCCCATGATAGCAAACGAAAATGTAAATATTACTATGGACAGACTTGCCAAAAATTTGTTTTTAGAATTCAATTTGTTTTTGATTAAGAAAAAAGTTGTCCAATTATTATCCGAATGAGTAGTTGCACCAGTATAACAGATTAATCATTTCTATTACCACTAATTAGCAGAATATTCTAGATTTTAGACAAATCTTGTGCCACAAGAAAGAAATAAAACACTGATATACCCTGAACTCCAAGTTATATGGCTTAGAGGGACAGGTTTGACATCAGTTTGATCAATCAAAACCTTAGTCTCAGAAAGGAGAATTTTTTGGGGTACATTTCTTGTACTTCTGAAGACTATTTACATATATTCAAGACCCAAATCAACCCCGAAAAATGTCCCTTTTAAGTGCTTGTTTTTTTCATGTGATATCACATGGTGACAGCTTTATGAATAGAATTATGTTGGCATGTATTCTAAGGAGGCATATTTTTTCGAGGTTTCTTTAAATTGATATATGAATATTAATATAGATATCGATGATATTTTAATATTAGATATTGCAATATAACAAAGAGGTTGTGAAGTTTTGATATTTAATACTCACCTTATATTAATGATATTTAAATATTATTTAGATATTATATAGATTTATAGAGATATGCACTTTTATTTAGTATTTGAATATTTTACTTTACCTGATCGAGCCTCTATTCATCTCTATCATTGAAAAAGCAAATATTCAGATGACTATATCCTTAAGGTGGGAACAAAATTAATTTCGGGTATAAAGTATATTATGATAAATACTGTTCGAGAGAAACAGGTCACACTTTGATTGATAAAAATACTGTTGTTAAAACAAGACTGTAGAAGATAACTTGTTAGATTACAATAGAGACATAATATTTCAGAAAAAAATTAGATTGGTGATGATGAATGTATATCTGAAGGTGCTTACATTATACTATGTAGCTTTCTATGGTATGTATAATACATTTACTGCAATATGTCCTTTACACACTGTGATACTTAGATTTATGAAAACCACAATAGATGCAATATGCAATATTATTAATATATATGTTAGATTAATAATAACTCAATATGAGTATACTCAAGAAGGCAGGGTCTTAAATGTCCAATTGTGTATAAGCACTTAAAGGTATACTACCTCTTAGGATGATGATATTGAAATTTGGTTAAAATGAGTCTTTGTTCATCAGTAGACTTACCTGGTGTCATAACTATAAAACAGAATCTCTCTATAATCCAAGTAATCTATAACACTAAGTAATAATTCATTAATCTAAGTAATTTTGAAACATGCTTAGAAGTGTGTTTCAATAATTATGTAGTTTAATGGATATAACGTCTTATATAGAGATTCTATTCTTTAGTCATTGTTCCTGGTTAAGTCCATCTGATGAATATATACACTTGTTGACCAAGTTTGAGGCTTTGATGTCCATTCTTTAAGTGCATTTTCTCTACTTTGTTTTTCTTTTGTTTTTGTTTTGCAACTGGTCACTGTTGTGCATTTATACTGATATTTGTAATCTTTTAGTATAAATTAGTCTTTGGTGTAGCAATTATATACAACATGTATGCTTTGCCAATTTGGCATTCCTCTACACATGCAAATTTACTTATATAGGCACCTATTCCTGCACAGTAGAAATAGGACCTATAAATTCTATTAAAATACTCACAGTATTGAACACAGTCTTGAGTTTTCTTACTTTACTTAGGGTCCAGGTTTAGATCCCCCTGGAAGGGGGGGGGGGGGGGGGGGTTGTTAGAAAATTACTGTGATACAAGCTATGCATACAAAAGATCCCATTACAGCTAGAACGAAACAATGATTATGCTTATGCCCTTGCAAATTTTCCTCATTGCACACCACTGAAATGCCTGTTCATTAGCATAATCAATGAGCAGAAGCCTAGAAAGTCGTCAACTCAATTTCATTTCAGTACATCAAATGCAGTATTTCCAATTAGCCTTGCTATGTTGGCAAAATGATGTCTATGCCAATTCGACAAGGAAGTTATAAACAAAAAATAGAAGGTCACTTCCTTAGGGAATAGACAGAATGATAATGCAAACATTATGGAATTGACATCTGCTGTTACTATTACCACAGTATGTAAACTAGTTGAAAAACACATCACAGAGTGGACTCAAGTACTCTTGACATTTATTTCATGGATATAAATATACATACAAGCATTTTAAAATATAATTCAAGAAATCAGTAAGAAACATATAAAAGTAAAATAAAAAGAGTTTACATCTAAAATAATATTGAAAGCATTTTTTTTACACACTAAAATATCTGAATGACTGTCATGCATTTTATGATTATTCTGACTTGAATACTTTCAATCATTCAATGATAATTTTCAATAAAATGGTCTAAAAAAGTTTGATAATTTTGCATTCTGAGTTGATAATTCGAGACATATAACAATGATTTTGAAATTATTGAGGGCTAAACTTTTGTGACATTGCCTCAAGTCTAAAGGCCCAAACCTACTATGGCATTTTACGTCATGTTACATAAACGCTTGAAGCATCAAAAAAGAGGCATTCAAGCTATGTTGGACAGTGGTCACATGACCTTGGAATGCCAAGAGACAATGTAACGTTTTGGTAACATTTTTGTACATTTGTTAATCACCTGAGCCAGAAATAAGACGGGTAGAGCTTAGATGTTGAACGCACAGAAAACCTCCTTTGGGGTTATTGGCGTTAAACGCACATTGTAACACTGGGTAATATGCCATAGTGGGTGAAAGCCTTTAATGTATATAATGTTTTTAATTTATCAAAAATATTTTCTAATATAACACTATATATAATAAAAGGAGGGATAAAGAGAAAATGGCACTCACTTTACAAAAGCATAATTTTACATAAATAATTTAATTACAAGAAAATTCAGAACGTTCATGATTTCAATTATTCCAAATTTGAGACATTAATTTTGTGCATGATCCCTGTAAATAAAAAATACATTTTTAATAACATGGTTTAAGTAATGTAGAAGTATTGAGTATTTTAAAGAAAGTCATTACTAGCTTAATCCAAACAGGATCAAAACAACAATAGTGTAGTGACGATTTAGTCTATAGTCTTACATAGAAACCATTACAGATCTGACACCATCCACAAAATATTTATGATCAGTCTATTATTTTATCAGTTAGGTTAATTATTAGAGGATGAAAGCCAACACTCTCAGAAGCACTGGCACAGGCATCAGAATAAATTTTCTTACCTTGAAGAGATTTGAATCCAAGACCTAATTGACACAAAGACGGCAATTTTTCGAGATTATTTATAGATTTGTATTAAAAATTTTGAATGTGAGATTGTTTGAAAAGCAGGAACAGAAGTATATTGTGTTCAATAATACTCAAACTGTTTATGTTTGTTTTGAATCATCTTATGGCATATCAAAAGCAGACTATTTTTGTTTATATTTTCAAATACTCATAGTACATCAATTAAACAGTAGCTTGTCCTTAGATAGACATAATGTCTAACATCACAAATTCACAATCATAACAAGTAAATTCACAACAAACTTTTGGGACATTGTCAGTAAAAGGAACTTACTCTCAAGGATAAAGCAGGATGCCAATACAACACCAAGAATTCTAGAATTGGTCATTTTACTGTTATATCTAATTAACTGTTGTTTTATCACATAAGCTGCCATTTTATCCTACTTTCTTTAACTTCAAGAATGGACAATCAAGTTATTTATTAAAGTAATTGTTATCCATATACTTATGTCCAGTTATTCATACCCCAGTTACTAAATGCCACTCAAGGTCCAAGGAAGAATGGACAAGAATGTCCCCCTCAAGAGTCATTCAACCAGTTTCAAGCTCGTTCTTTTGATCTAGGCAGTATCAAGTTGTCATGAGCATAAATACAAATATGACATTTTAGTCACAAGCATTTAGTTTCTGTCACATTGTCGTTCTGTATTCGACAAATTTTGTTCGAATGACTTTTTGTAAAATATGGTTTTCATAACAAGGTCATGGCATCCTTCTATCAAATACATTTATAAAAACAAAACATAAAAGTATTACAAATAATACATATCTAATACAGCCTAATTAAAATCAAACCAAACTTTCCTTCTATTTTTGATTAGCTTTCACTTTTAATATAGCCACTACAGTTAGAGTCTAAAGACAGCCCTCTTGAATATTCATTTGTTAGATGACAGCGCCAGCCAATCAAATTTCTTCCCTTTCTAACACTGGGATTATTTGATGAAAACAAAAGGTGTATTCCGAGAAGCATTAGGCACTAAATGCACCTTTTGGTTGCCTCACAAAATCCCAGCATTAAAGAGGGAAGAAATTGGATTGGCTGGCGGTAAAATCATACAGATGAATGTTCAAGAGGGCCATCTTTAGACCCGAACTGAAGTGGTTATATTAAAAATAACAGCTGATACAAAACAGAACGAAATTTTGTTCTAATTTTAATCAACTGTTATCTATTAATACTGACTAGAAAGATACACAAAATTTATCTAAATAACACATAATAGCAATAACTATGGTCTTCACTATTTTGGATTTCGATGCATTTAAATATCAGCATTTTTTGTTCAAATATAACAAAATGATACAAAAAGGTTTCTTTGGTGAAACTCTTAAACATTTTGGCAAAACATACCAAATTATCTTGCCATAAATAACAAAAATATATATTGTAAAATTGCACAAGTTAAAATGATATAATAAACATTAAAATTTTAAACTATGTGGATTTGTGGAGAATGAGTTTTATATCAAAAAATGGTTTCCTGTGTTTCCTTGAAATTGAAATCATGAAAATCATTGTGTTAAAATTTTGCTTTGCAGACTTGCTTAGAACCACTCTAGTATTTAGGCTTTGAGAATATTTCAGATGAAATATATCTCAAACCTCGAGTCAGCACTATCTAAAAAACAAGGACAGTTACTGAGGTTCATGAAGATCCTGTCAAACAGCTGGTCTTTGGTAAAACTTCTTGGCATGGGTCTTTCCTTGATTATACTATCAAATATAGCCAACTCTTATCTCATTAAGAAATTCAGGAAATCATTTGAATATAAGAGGTAAGTATATGTGGTTTAAGATATTGTGGTATGGCATACTAAGTAGGGCCCTGTTTCTTAAAAAATCATACTTTTGACTTAATCTACCCTCAAGACCATTGTAAGTTTTGTTAAAACAAAAAAATAATTGAAATAAGACTGGGCCTCTCTAAGTATCAGAATGTATCAGAAACACTGAAGTGAAAATCTCTTCATCCTTTCAAAAATACCTCAAAGTAGAAATTTCACTTTCTATTTCTATAGATGTCTTTTCTATATGATATAGTCTCAAGAAAAGACGAGTCGTCTATTTAACTTCAAACAAAGACAATTTTGGAGAAATATGGATTTTGAAAAGGACTGATGGCAAACCTTTAAGCAATTTTACAAAAAACTAAACTTAACAATTTGCGTAGTATGATTTTTTGAGAAATCCAGGGTACAAAAGAGTTGTCACTTTTGAGCTACAAATGGCAAGGTTAAAAAAATAATTAGACTTAAAATATAATAAATTACATACATTTGGCTCATTTTTATACAAAGACTTTAATAAGAAAAACAAATAACATAACAAATTTGTTAACTACATGTAATATCAAATTTCTAATAACCATTTACTCTAGCATATTCAAAGTGTATAGACCTTATTCACACATGATATCAGCCATTTTGAATTGAGAATGAGGCTCATAATGCAAAAAAATAAAGGTAACGTGGTATAACTGCAGTAAAATTGCCACCTTGATATCTTTAAAGCCTCCTTCTCAAATCCCACTAACTCAAAACTAATATTTTACATCATTAAATTTGGAATTGATTAAGCTATTTAATGATACTATCAGAAGAATTTTACCTTCACACATTTCTGAGAAGTAGCAGTTTTAAGCTTATTTTCTTGCTGTTGACCGGGTGTTCAGTCACATAAGTTATTCATTCATATGATGTCGCCATCTTTTTAACAGGTGACTTCATTATGAGCCTTTCTTTTGATGATTGCAAAACGAAGTGTGAATAAGGTCTATTCTTATTATTTCTAAAAGAAAATATCAAAGTTTTGATCTAATTTATACATAATCAACCTCATCTTTAAGATTTCGCATTATTTTCAAAACATTTATGACCAAAACAATACACTAAAAAAACATTTAACATTACTATGGACATGATCAACCACATTTTTGAGATTTCTTCTTTTCCTCATAAAAATACATATAACAACAACAAAAATTCCCAAATTCTGTAAAAAAAATATTATTACTTTCTCTTAATACATAACATAATTTCACCACATTGTGCTTATTTATTGTAACATGGAATATCTCTATTCCTTACCCTGTACATATTTTTGCAATTTTCATCAAAATAACCTTTAAATTCAGCTTTTCAGTCTCCAAACGAGAATTTTTATATACAACGATTTCATATCAATACTTTGTCAGCTGATAGAGCTCAATTTTATCTTTACATATCACTTATCAAAATGGAAATCAGACGTCTTGTCTGCTAAAATCAAATGTTATTTACAGTCTATGTATACTACAACTGATGTTACTTTCATCCTTTGTCATTTTGGAAAGTGATACAGATAGCGGAAATGAGCTCTATCATAAGGGATATCACCCCTCCAAAAATCTTAAGTAAAAATATTGATTAAGCTATTTTGTTTTCAAACGCCATTTTTAAATTTATTTTCAGGCCACTATTTCTTCAACCAATAAAATAAATTTAGAGAAGACAAAATAGTACATGTATACAGCTCAGACATTATCAAAAATCAAACTATAGAGTCAAAATCCAAATCAAATATTCAAAACCTGAATTTTGATCGATAGTCAAAGTATCATTTTCCATGAACTAAAATTTTAATCTTCTAATTTGTATTCTTGATTAGTAAATAACAAACATCAATTAACAAAACACAATGTTATGGTATACTATTTCTTAGTTTTATTGTACACAACATTTCAACAATCTACATTGAGAAAATTGTGCTCTGTTAATTAATGTGTTCCCTACACCTAAGTGTCATATAAGAATTATCTAGATGAGGAGTGAGTTAGTATCTTATTAGTAGGCCTACCTACTAGTATTAGTACCAGAATACTATTTTTCTGTTTCCCTGACTAATCTAGAGAAGTTACTATCAGGATCATCTAGTAGATTCTGTGGTGTATCACATTCTATTATTTGACCTGTTTCCATGACAACTATTCTGTCATATTTAGTGATAGTTGACAATCGATGCTGAAATATACATATCAATATATTAAATGAGCCTAACTAGAGAGCACAAATTTGAGAGTGAACATGTTATTCAAAGGACTCAAACAGTGACAGTTGTAGAACTACATAGTTCTATTAATTGGGAGGTTTCGTTGCCAAATTTTTTTCAAATACATTTTAGGCGGGTCTGGGGGCGTATAAGGGGGGAATAGAGGTAGTGAAAATCAGTCTGGAAAAACCAAAAAAAGACTTTTTGACCTTTCTCGAACGGTCTCTCATCATTCACTCACTCACTAATTATGAATTAATTATGGACATGTGAGACAAACTGTTATTTTTTCATAATAACAAATTTACTTTCTATCCATATAAGTATAAGTATTAGCATTTTCATTTTCATTTATGAAAATAAGGGAACCCATCTTTAACAACATAAAGAAATTGAAATGAAGTTTTGTACCCTAGCTAAATTGACGAAAAATAAAATGAAACGAGACAACTTACAGCAATAGTTATAACTGTTTTATCTTTAAAAGAATGATCCATGATAATATCTTGTAATTTTTTCTCTGTTTCTAAATCTATAGAGGCAGTAGCTTCATCTAATATAATAATCCTAGAATCACGTAGAAACGCCCTCGCTAAACATAATAACTGAAATACAATATTCTAACATTATATAACACATCTACATCATTCTAATTCAGTCTGATACTAAATTGACAAAAGCTTTGAGCATGTTTTGACTAAAGGTGCGGCCTTGGTCCGAGACTATTGTTAACAATTAGGTTCTTGTCTTGAGTTTTAACGACTGGCATGGGCACACAAGGAGACAAAAATCAGTCGTTTTCCACCTTGTCGATAATCACGTGCAGAGTATGCAATTGAAAGGAAAATGAATCTGATTGGATGATGACAGTTTGTCTTGCAGATGATAAAACCATCAAAGACAAATATCAAACTTGATTGATATCATAAATCCTGTGGTAGAGGCACAGACACACGCAAGATTTTACTCATGACAATTATCGACAGCAAGAATCTCCGACCCAGACCGCTGAAACGAATGGTAATCATACCTTTTTCTGTCCAGCACTAAGATTATCACCACTTTCAGATATTTCAGCATCTGTATAAACACAAAATAAAGGATTAGTGTCCATATTAAACTGAAGAATCACAGTTATCCAACTGACTAGATTGGCTGAACTACTCATGAATATTTTTGCACAGCTTGTAGGGTTTCATCGTTTTAAAACATTATGAAGCATGTAGCCTACATAGACCTTATTCAAGCCTCATTTTAAACACATCGCAGGTTCATAACGCAAATCATCTATTGAAAAGATGGTGATATCATATGAAGGAATAGCCTAGGTGACGTCATTAAACACTTAATCAACAGTGAGAAAAAGAGCTTAGAACTGCCCTTACTGGGATATCTGTAAAAGTCGATGTAAATGATGTAAAATATGATTAGTTTTGAGTTACTAGGACTAGAAAAGGAGGCTTTAAAGACATCAAGCTGGCGATTTTGGCAGTGACAACCGTTTTATGTTTGCATTATGAGCCTCGTTCTGGATTCAATATGGCCCATGTATGAATACAGTCTATATCTCTATGGAAATAATTAAAGTAACAATTATGCTAATTATGTCTATTTAGCAATTTATAACATTGGTTCTGAAAACAACTAAGTTACCTAATTTTTGTGGTAAATTAGAAATATAATCTTTTAACTGTACAACTTCTAAAGCTGACCATAGTTTATCTTCTTCAATTGTACTAGAAGGATCTAAGTTAAACCTGAAAAATACCAGTCAAAATTTGTTCTTCTTTTATTTTGTATACTGAAGCAATGCATACTCCCTTGTCCATCTTTTGAGGTCCTTTGTGTTTGTCAACTTGGTAATGATGTTTTTGTTCACAGATAATATGGAATCTATCAGGGTTAGTCAAAAAAATAACTAAGTTATTCTAATCAAGATCAGTTGCATTGAATGAAATTTGCTGCTATATTAAGTTTAAATTGGCTACAAGTTTTTATGGACAACATAAGTAGAGGAAATGCCTTGACAAGAGCCCTGTCTCCATTAGCCTGCATGGTGCAGAAAAGTAGGATGTAAAACTCCATTCATTTCATTTTCATTTGACAAGAGCTCATCTTTTGCTGGCAACAAGTATTTCGGGTCAAAAATGACTATTTAAATCTTTGCTAAAATATGAAGGTATACTAATAACATATCCTAGATACATAAGAAAGTACCAAAAAGTGGAGATGTTCCAGGAACCACAATCGCAATATATATCTTGTAAAAGTGCAGCTAAAAACATACCTAACTGTACCATTGAATAATACAGGATCTTGTGAAATAATAGAGATACGAGATCTAAGTATAGGTAATGGTATGTTTCGAACATCATGATTATCTATTAATAACTGACCAGCTGTTATATCTAATGTACGGAATAAGGCTAATGTTAACGAGGACTTCCCACTGCCAGTACGACCACAAATACCAATCTACAAAGAGAATAAATTGATAGTGAGTTGTATTAAATTCTACTCAAGGTAATCAGTTGATTAAAGAATACAACTCAGTAATCTCAATCTGTTTAACTAACATTGATAGTGAGTTGTATTAAATTCTACTCAGGATAATCAGTTGATTAAAGAATACAACTCAGAATCTAAATCCATTAAAATAAAATTGATAGTAAGTTGTATTAAATTCTACTCAGGGTAATCAGTTGATTTAAGAATACAACTCAGTAATCTAAATCTATTAAAATAAAATTGATAGTGAGTTGTATTAAATTCTACTCAAGGTAATCTGTTGATTTAAGAATACAACTCAGTAATCTAAATCTAACATTGATAGTGAGTTGTATTTAAATTCTACTCAAGGTAATCTGTTGATTTAAGAATACAACTCAGTAATCTAAATCTATTAATACAAAATTGATAGTGAGTTGTATTTAAATTCTACTCAGGGTAATCAGTTGATTAAAGAATACAACTCAGTAATCTAAATCTATTAAACTTGAATAAAATTGATAGTGAGTTGTATTCAAATTCTACTCAAGGTAATCTGTTGATTTAAGAATACAACTCAGTAATCTAAATCTATTAAAACAAAATTGATAGTGAGTTGTATTAAATTCTACTCAGGATAATCAGTTGATTAAAGAATACAATTCAGTAATCTAAATCTAACATTGATAGTGAGTTGTATTTAAATTGTACTCAGGGTAATAAGTTGATTAAAGAATACAACTCAGTAATCTAAATCTATTAAAATAAAATTGATAGTGAGTTGTATTAAATTCTACTCAGGATAATCAGTTGATTACAGAATACAACTCAGTAATCTTAATCTATTAAGCTTGAATAANATTGATAGTGAGTTGTATTAAATTCTACTCAGGATAATCAGTTGATTAAAGAATACAACTCAGTAATCTAAATCTATTAAAATAAAATTGATAGTGAGTTGTATTAAATTCTACTCAGGTTAATCAGTTGATTTAAGAATACAACTCAGTAATCTAAATCTATTAAAATAAAAATGATAGTGAGTTGTATTAAATTCTACTCAGGATAATCAGTTGATTTAAGAATACAACTCAGTAATCTAAATCTAATATTGATAGTGAGTTGTATTAAATTCTACTCAGGATAATCAGTTGATTAAAGAATACAACTCAGTAATCTTAATCTATTAAACTTGAATAAAATTGATAGTGAGTTGTATTAAATTCTACTCAGGATAATCAGTTGATTAAAGAATACAACTCAGTAATCTAAATCTAACATTGATAGTGAGTAGTATTTAAATTGTACTCAGGGTAATCAGTTGATTAAAGAATACAACTCAGTAATCTAAATCTATTAAAATAAAATTGATAGTGAATTGTATTAAATTCTACTCAGGGTAATCAGTTGATTTAAGAATACAACTCAGTAATCTAAATCTATTAAAATAAAATTGATAGTGAGTTGTATTAAATTCTACTCAGGATAATCAGTTGATTAAAGAATACAACTCAGTAATCTAAATCTAACATTGATAGTGAGTTGTATTTAAATTGTACTCAGGGTAATCAGTTGATTAAAGAATACAACTCAGTAATCTAAATCTATTAAACTTGAATAAAATTGAAAGTGAGTTGCATTTAAATTCTACTCAGGATAATCAGTGGATCTAAATCTATTAAACTAAAATAAAATTGGTAGTGAGTTGTATTAAATTCATATAACCAGTTGATGAAAATTGAATATTGCTTGCCTTTTCAGCTGGTTGAATAAGGAGATCTATATTTTGTACAACTGTTTCTAATGTGCTATCATATTTTAAACTGATATCTTTAAATTCAACACAACCTTTCTCTGGCCATTTCTTATCTATTTCTTCTTCTTCCCCTTCTAAAAAAACAATTTTCATTTGTTAAAAAGTTTCCAGTGTATCAGTGTAGTGTAGTCACAATTGCACTGATAGTGTATAATCCAAGTTAACCTTGTTTTACTTTCAAGAGTAGGTACACCATTTATAAGGGATTCTAGACATAACTATTCAAGATTTCATGTGATTTTCAGGCCAAACAACATGTTTTGACATACACTTTGTTTCTTAAATAATATGACCACTCACACTTAATTTGTGAATATTATATGAGTATGTGCCTCTACGAAGCCACTTCAAATAAACGTGAATCCTTCAAATTTTTTAATTACATTTTAATCCAATTAAAAGCCCTTACCATTATTGGTGTTTTCAGTGGGGATATTTGTGTATTCTAAAACTCTCTCTACAGCATTCATAGCCATTTCTACTTCAGCTGAGGTTCTTACAATCCAATTTAACAGTCCTGACATCTAGAATGGTAATTTAAAGAAACATGTCTCCTACTTATTCTGAAGGTTTCAACTAATAATATTAATAGCCATTATAAGGTCAGAACCAAACAAGTTCAAACTGCTTAATCAGAAATTAGTACACTCCATTTTCAGTTAATAAAGATAGTGGCCCACAGCCATATACGCCCACCACGGCATGCCAATGGTAAATATTCAAGATTTTGGGGCAAGGGTAATAACTCTGCTTCTAACGGTCGAAAATAGATCAAATTCAAACTTGATCTTCGTGTTATGAATATGTATACACATACCGAATTTCATTTGATTCCAACAAAAAATCTAGTTTTTAGAGCGTTTACAAGCAAATGTTGACGAACGGACCAATGGACGCACGAACAGGGTGCCGACAATATACGTCCACATAGAGAGATGTGGGCGTATAAAAACAAGCTAATTTAACAATGTTCACTGTCAGAAAAATGGAAATGTCCAGTGTTTTGTGTAAACATTCAGTACTTACCATGAGTGAATAAGTGATGGACAAACCAATAAAAGCAGGATTTATCTGCCCTTTGATACCAGACGTCAAACTACTTATAGCTGATACAAATACTAATAAACAACCCATATAGTCCTACAAAATACCACAGAAAACTATCTTACAATTCTTAAAGGCCATTGTTCGCCATTTTTGGGGGTTGATTTGGGTCTTGAATATATGTCAATGTTCTAGAACTACGAAAATCACATTATTCTTCAAATATACTTCAAACTGAAACATTCTCTTTTGTCATTTTAACTTTCAAAAGCTGATAATTCTGTGCACACATGGATTTTACGGCTCAAAATTTGACAGTTAGCTGTGAACACCATTACTGATTGGTTTAATAATTTGAGTTTCTGAGACTAAGGAAAGGTATGATTGGTCAAACGGATGGCAAACTTGTCCCTTTAATGAAATAGAAGTGTCCTTGACCTATCATGTGAGAGATGCCAAAATTCCAAGAATGCTCACAACAATAAAATATATCATTCTTTACAAAAGGTTCTAGCCAACTTTTCCCTTTGATGGTCAGTGTTCCATTAAAAAAAATCATCAATCATGCACATTGATGACAAAACAAAATACAATTGACAAATATACCTTTGGTCAAATGATATGAACAATATAGTATGTAATATACTCGGGTAATGGGGTACAACAATGTTCGCTATATCAATATATGGGAGGGATCATGCAGGGTCATTTCACAATAAAGATCAATACTATGAGGCTTTGTCAAGGACCAGCTGGTAGACAGAATCCCTGAGAACGTAATGTTGTTATTCTTGATAAATAATCTTCAAGATGGTCGAGATCTTACCAACATATTTGTAAATGCATCGATTTTATTAGATTGTATGTTAGTGAAAGAGCCAATCAGAGCCCTTGGCAGAAAATCAGGTGAATAATAAGCCATAACATTAATGATCTTTCTGTCAAAGGCTCTGATTGGCTGTATTTGGTAGCATACAATCAAATCAAATTGCTGCATTCTGTGATACAAGAATAGTGGCTTTTGTAGTCAAGGCATAATAATAGCTTGACATTGTGAAGATGTGAATGAATTTCAATGTCAATGCATGACGGTACTCTGCAGCCATTATTTGCAGTCAACCTAAGCCACCAAAATGTACACCTGAACATTGGATACTTACTAATCTAATACCCAGCCATCTATTAGTTGTTTGAAGAAATAAAAAGGGTGTGATATTTCTATCCATAATATTCATTGCTCTTCTACGAAACTCACTCTGTGCTCTACAAATACAACAAAACACTCACTATACAACACATTTTATTTGGTGGGTGTGGGTGTGGCGCGTGAAGCAGATCATGCTTTCTCTTTGTGAAACACCTGATGGTACTTCTCTTTGGAGTAGTCCACTACTATACAACTTTTACTCTTAATTTGACATACTTTGGTCAAGATTCTGATTAACGGAATTGTCTTGCTTGATCAGATTTTAATTTCACTCACTTTTTCTAATTTTGAAATGATTCTCATTTACTGATAAAAGTACATTATTTTCTAGATAGCATATTAAAGGTTACAAGTGCAATACAAAATATACATCTGGAAAGGGATAATAGTGGAAGTGCTCATATGCTGCGATCCTCGGAATTTGCTTTCGTTTAGCGCATTAAATTTGGTATTGTCACACTACATTCTGAAGTGATTTGATGCCGTACAAAATGCGTCACTCCGACAGTGCTATAACCGGGTAATGCACCCTTGACGGTGAAGGTCATTCATTCCAAAATGGATGCGCCTGAGAATCAACATGAGCAAGAGATGCCAAACGAAAACTCTTTTTTATGGTGGTGTTCATTCAAAGAATGTGGCAGAATTGGCGTTGAGAATGATGTTGAGAATCAGACATATATATCTGTAGCAAGAGAAGTCGCTCGGACCACCCCTTCTTATTTGCAGACATCACAAGCAGTAACACAAACAAAATACCCGTGAATCAATAGCAGGTTTTCTCCATGCCTTAGAATGGAAGCTTGTGTGTAAATAGCTACTGCGCATGATTTAAATGTGTGTTGTGTTTATAGTGTGATAAGCCGGTCAAACCCACTGTCAGGAAACGCGACTATTAAAGCAGGTTTCAATCAGTTTGAAAAGGGGTTTCGTTACAGCAATTTGAGATCAGTTCAAAGTGGTTTTAGTCTGACGCGTCTATGCGCTCTAAGGCTTTAAAACGCTTGTGTGAACAGGACTATACAATACAACAAGATATCCATTAACAGCAACAATCACCTACAATTTGGGATTTAAAAAAACCTCATTCTTTACGTTTTTCAAGTTTTTTTTTAAAAAGTCTGAGGTACAATATCCGTCAGATATATTGCTTCCTTCAAAAATTAGATATTAGGTAACTTGGCCTCTCTAAGAGGAGAATGAAGCAATTTTGGATATGATAGCAGAAAGTTGATGTGATTTCAAATATAAGGTGCATTCAAGATAGAAATTGACTTACTTGTATGCCCTTATAGTTTGTAGACCTGTCAGTGTTTCAGAAAAGTGAGCAAATATTGGTGATTTGGTTACACTGTCTAATCTCTGTAACTCTCTAGAAAAAAAAACAATTAAATGGATTATATACAGCAAAGCCTCATTTTATTGCCTTTTCAACCTGTATGAATGACAGTGGGAAACCAGTTTAATTCCTCAAATTAACCTTTTGACCTAACTTAATAAACACTGCTTCACAAAATCCCAGCGATGGAGAGGGTACAAAAGGTCGATTTGATGAATGTTCAAGAAGGCTGTCGTAAGACCCTAACTGAAGTGGCTACATTAAAAATAAGGTCTAATAAGAAAACAGAATGAAAAATTTGAAGGTATCATCTAAACCTATACTGGGATTATATACCAATCTAATTCTAACAGTCCAGCAGAAGTAAAATCTCTGAAGCTATACCAGGTACAAAAAAAATTGTTCTGTAAATGTCATTAGACATTAACTTCCCAATGACAAGCTTAGTCTGATACCTTGACTGCAATAGCTACCTTTCTTGTGTCACAGAAGTTTGTAAATGCAGTAATCTGATTGGATTGTACGCTAGCGATTACAGCCAATCAGAAAGTAGGTAAACAATAAGCCATAATGTTGACAGTCTTTCTGGCAAGGGTTCTGATTTGCTGTATTTGTTAGTGTACAATCCAATCAAATTGTTGCATTCAGCATAACAAGAAAATGGCTATTGCAGTCAAAGTATAAGACAAAGTTTGTAATAGCTTGACATTGCGAAGATGTTAGAAATGGGAACCACACTAGTAATAGAACAGGTGTAATTACCTGGCAGTACTTCTAAAGAAGCGTTGTAAACAATAATATAAGATGATTAATGGAATGGCTGCTAGTAAGAAATATGGTGTAGTTATAGAATTAACTACTATAGCTGATAATGTATAAAATAACGTTCTTAATACTCCCTCTATATTAGCTGCTAATTTCTGAAATATATTAACATCTGATTTTTAGCTGCTTTATGGCTTTTGATTGAGCAAATTTTACAAAGAAAACTATCATAGTTCATTTTGTTCCATAGTCAGAAGATATAAAATTACCCAAAATGTTGTTGAATAACTTAGCTGTCCTTAGCTGCTATACTTAAAGTTTCAATGTGGAAAATGTATCAAATCCTAGGCAGTTGTCTCAGGGCAGTAGCTAAAGGGAAACCAAGCACACCCTAAGATATTTTTGCCCCAAAAATTTAGATGCCTCGATTGAATTGTTCAGTAACAAAGTATTCCCCCCCTCCCTTCCTTTAAAAATCTTGGTCCCCCTGAGACCCTGTTGTTGCTATGGGCCTGAGTTGCCTTTTAACATAGTAAAGGTCAAAAGCATTTTGATAGGCTCAGAAAAAAATTGAAAATATATTTCAGCTCATGAACCTTACCTGATCTATGTTAGTTATATCACCAGAAAATCTATTTAATATTCTACCACTGGGATTGGTATCAAAAAACCTGAAATATTTTTAAAATATTATTGATATGAATAAATGTGACATCTCTCAAATAACATCTGAGATGACCAACAATCTGCAGATTGATGTCAGGCTTCCCCATATGTAAACATTTCCTTCCTCATTTACTGCTAAGAAGAGCTCAAAATCATTGAACTTTGCTCCCATATAAAATATAGGTATGTAATAAAACACTTAGTTTTAGTGGAATTGCAAAAACAGTCTGACTGAGTTTAGAAACCCTTTTTACTATCCTTTTAAAATATAAATAACTATCAAATTAGTTCCATTGCATTTCATTTGATTTAAATGCTCGAAAAAGGCCATATGAACAATGGCCAATGATTTCTTGGCCTGCATTTTTCAAACAAAGTCTGGGTACTTACCGAACAGGTGCTTGTACAACATTTTTTAACATTCCATTAAATAACACCCTAGCTCCAAACAGACCAGCGTAATGTAAGACTAATGTTGTAACTAATGCTATACATAATGCCCCCATAGATAGAGCTGCATATACTCTTACATAAGGAGAGTTATCAAAATGCTGTAAGATAAAATTATTATGTTAGTCATTCAATATCTAATTAAAATTAGACAAAACTTTTGTTCTATTTTCTTATGAGCTCTAATTTTTAATATAGCCACTTCAGTTAGGGTCTAACGACAGCCCTCTTGAACGTTTGTCAAAATAATCTTTTGACCTTACCTGATAAACACCAAGTCACTAAATGCCATAGGGTGGCAATATGATTTGAAATGGAGAGGGAAGAAATTTGATTGGTTAAAGCAGACGTCATCAAGTGAGGTCAAAAGGTTAATTTGACGAACGTCCAAGAGGGCTGTCGTTTGACCCTAACTGAAGTGGATATATTAAAAATAAAAGCTAATAAAAAACAACCACTGTTGATACAACAATATATTCACTAAAGCATTATTAAATGGTCATAGGAATTAAACAGTACACACCTTTATAGTAACATTGGTACCAGCTGTTGCTGTGACACGCATCTGATGTTTCTCCCCGGCGCTAGACCAGATTCCTAGCCAGAAGTTAGAACCTACTAATACACTATGGTATGATACAGTTAATACTATTACTATTAGACACAGTACTATGGTGCAGGCTTTCATATACTTTATATAAGCACTAAGTTTGACTGCTCCCGTTTCTTTGTGTTCTTTTTTAACTAATGTTCCTTTTACTTCTTCTTTACTACCATGGACTATAATGGAAAAGATTTATAGAAACTATAATATCTAAAAAATAATTAAAACTGGGTTGAAAGTTTGAAATCGTTATCTGTAGCTATGCCTTAATCAAACTAGGCTTTATGTTATAAATCCTGTCAGCACCATGATAACCTTGTGGAAGTGCAGACACATGGGAGATTTTACTTAAAGGGACAGATTAGACATTTAATTCGTTTAAAAATACCTCAAATTTGGAATTTTCTATTTTTATATATGTTTTTCTATATATGGCAGAACCTCAAGAAGTGACAGGTCATCATTTTGACATAGATAATTCTGGAAACACATGGATTTGAAGGTTCAAATTTCAACGGTGAGCTGTAAACACTATTACTGATTTGCTTAGCTAAATAAATGCCATTCTCTAAAACTAAGGTACAATTGGTCAAATGGATGGTGAATCTGCTCCTTTAAGTTTCTTTTCAGCAATGAAAATTGGCTACAAAACTGTTTGTGTGCCCCCAGCATAAGCCATGATGGAGTTTGTTGATTAAGGTATATAAATTTGTGATGTATTTCTAACATCTTCAACTCACCCATTTTGTCTTTTTCACTATTTTCTTCATCAGAAGCTTCACCATCTTCATTTGTGGCTTCTGTCATAACAGACATCTGAGAAACTTGTCTACTGATGGTAGGTGCTAATAAATTCTACAAGACAGATAGGAGGTTGTGTTAGTTTAGAAATGCAATATTCAATCACACTGCTTTCTGGTCCCATTAATTTACCTTGATGATGCCCTGTGTGCTACAGACTGTGCACATTAAAGATCCCTCGACAGTTAGAATCGAAAAAGAGCAGGCTAATGCCGCTGTCCTGGCAAAATTTCTCTTATTGCACCCTGCATGGCCTGTCTTCATTAACCCACATGGTGCAGAAAGTAGGACGTAAAACTCCATTTATTTCTAAATGAAGCTTCCTTTTCCAGAGGATACATTCTTTACACGTATATAATAGCAATTCGAGGACACCCTGAAGTTTATTACCTGATTTATTTGTTTTGATTCTGATGGTAATGTTCCTGTACTTAATCTTCTATCTCTAATATTATCATCTTCCATAGGTTCTTTTAACTTAGTTCTACAAAATTACATCCAAACATATGTGGTCTTTGTGAGATCATACATTTTTTATGCAAGAATTTACATGCACTATGTAAACATTTTATGCTTATATGCTAAGGGTTTTCTAAGAGGTATGCCAATAGAATATACATATTTGCAGGGTGGAACACTTTTGAAACAATAGCCTAGTATCAAAGAGACCGATTCACCATTTTCAGGGTTGATTTTGGGTCTTAAAAATATATGTAATTAGTCTTCAGAAGTACTTTAAATGTATGAAAATCGCATAATTCCTTCAAAAATACCTCAAACTAGAAATTTCACTTTCACAGATGTCTCAAGAAATGACAAATCATCATTTTAACATTCAAATGCAGATAATTCTGGACACACATAGATTTGAAGGCTAAAATTTCATGAGTTGTGAACACTATTACTGATTAGTTTAGATAAAAAATTCCTGTTTCTGAGAATAAAGTCAAACTGATTAAAAGAATAGCGAATCTGTTTTGTGTTAGATATCATACCTAATTTCTGAAACTTTAGCTTCTTTAATAGCTTTCCTCCAAGATTCATATAATTCTGGATCAATTTTCTTAACTTCACTAACTTTACTTTGTAATGTTATCTTTCCTTCTTTCATCACTATAACCTATAAAATATAAATTTTATTCCTTTTTCATTTCAGGCACAGAATAGCTTCTTAATAATCTTTAAAACTTAACATTTGTTAGTAATTGAACCACCATTTATAAACATGCAGTCATGACAGATTTTAACACATAACATAAGCACAACATAACATAAGCACATTGATAATGTTTAGAATATTCTTGTTGTCAGTTTCCCGTTCCTGTTCATAGATTTCCATATCTTAGTTAATACTCTTTTAAGTCAATCTTTTTTTAAAGTTTCGAAATTATCTGTCCTGATGAGGACTGTTTATCTGAAACAAATGTCAGCATATAAGCTTTAGCAAGACCATATCATAACAATGGTATACCACGATCTGAATTTTAAATAAGATATTGTAAATATATACATACCTGATTAGCATAGTTAAGATATTGTAAATATAGACATACCTGATTAGCATAGCTAAGATATTGTAAATATAGACATACATGATTAGCATAGCTAAGATATTGTAAATATAGACATACCTGATTAGCATAGCTAAGATATTGTAAATATAGACATAACTGAGTAGCATAGCTAAGATATTGTAAATATAGACATACATGATTAGCATAGCTAAGATATTGTAAATATAGACATACCTGATTAGCATAGCTGAGATATTGTAAATATAGACATACCTGATTAGCATAGTTAAGATATTGTAAATATAGACATACCTGATTAGCATAGCTGAGATATTGTAAATATAGACATACCTGATTAGCATAGCTAAGATATTGTAAATATAGACATACCTGATTAGCATAGCTGAGATATTGTAAATGATGGGTCACTAAAATAACTGTTCTTTTACGTTTTAATAACCTGTTCAGTATGGCTTCTTCAAATACGTGTCTGGATACATGAGCATCTAAATCAGATAGAGGACTATCCTAAAAAAAACAAATATTTTTATGTTCACTATCAAACTATTTAACTATCAACATTGAACACATTTTGAGATCTTCTTTCTTAAAGGGATTTATAAGAGGTTTGTTAGCATATCAGGAACACTTTTAGATAAGAACCCTTATTGCTACTTTTCACCCATTGTCTGTGGTTTTCTATAATGCTAGAAAACCTGATCATGAAGTCTCTGTGTGAAGGAAGAAAAGAAATAATTTTTTTCTAAAAAGATAGAAACTAAGGTTTATGAAGATCCTTTCTACTAACTGGTCCTTGGCTAAACTCCTCGGCATTGATTATTAAATTATCTATAACCATTTACAACTGGGTTGACTGCAATAATGAGGAAGGATAATTTATTCAAAGTAACTACATGTAGACTAGAACCCACAACCACCATTTGTTCCATGTAACCAAGGAAGTGATGTCAATCCAAATCCAAATCTAGGTGATATAGCATAAAATTCTTACCAATATGACTACATCTGTTTCAGAATATACAGCTCTAGCTAGACTTATTCTTTGTTTCTGTCCACCAGATAGAGTAATACCCTATAACAACAAAACGCCAATTTAACTTTGCAAAACACAAAAATAGGATGCCACATAAGAATTTGTGCTCTAGAAAAATTAGGCATGTTTGTAAAATGCATTATATATGATGGAAAAGTACATTGATTGCAGCATGCAGTAAAGTAGGTTAGACAAAATTTCATGAGTATTTCATACTGAATTAATAAATATTGGAAGGAGCTATGACATGTCCACCAAGGTTCATCACATTCATTGAAAACTCACAACTATAATATGAGCAAAAGGACTAAAATATCTGAAAGACAAACATGGATTTTCACAAGGTATACAAAGAGCCTATAATGATCAGCAGAAACACTTTCAGGGAAAAAACATATAATGGAGTTTGGTTATAAAATAACGTAAATAACTTCATTATCAGTATAACCAGACAAATAACCAAATAATCTAAAGGTCATAGTACCCACCTTTTCCCCTACTTCAGTTAAATCGCCAGCAGGAAATGAATCTAAATCTGGTTGTAAATTACAGGCCTGTATCACTTTACGATATCTACAAATATAAGATTGAGAAGCATGTAAAAATAGCTGTTGTTTAAATTGGTTTTCATTCACAAAGGCAAATGCTGAGGACAGGAAAATAAGACGGATGACGTGTTCGAAAGCCTCTAAATCTTAAGTGAACAGTCTTCGGGATTACTTTTTCAAGCTAACCACAATAAGGAAGACAAAATGCAAAATCCCAGCAAAAAAAAAAACTAATTTTTCTGATAAATTCACTACATAATTGCATTTTAAAATTCCCCTAAAATTTAATAAAAAATACTAAAATCTGTAGAAAAGTTGGTATTTTGTGTCAGTTATCCATTTTTACCTTCTCCATATAAAAGGTTGACCAAATGTTATATTATCTCTAACTGTAGCATGTAATAACCAAGCTGTTTGAGCACAATATGATATATTACTTCCTCTGAAATCAATACAAACATAATTTGAGTGTAGACGGCATATTAACGTCTGCTGAAAGCAAGAAAACATTGTTTATTGTTCAAGCAACACACAGTGGACCATGTTCCAAAGAAACATTGCCTATTGTTGCTTTGTCACATGACCACAAAGTTCAAAAGATTTATTCCATGAGATATTATATGTTAATTGGTTGAGGACGGATAATGTTCTGAAAAATGTTTTAGTCAACACACATGTCAGATTGAGATCATTTCTGAATGCAAATAAGTATCAGCAGCTATGACAGGTGTGGCGCCACTTTTCATTATGAAATACTTATGATTGATATACTTTCTCATGTGAAAAGTTCATTAAAGCTGCTACCAATCTTTCGCCAAAATGTTGTTTTGGATTTCAGATTTTGTTTTGTGGTTAGGATTGTTAGTACTTGGTTTATTTCTTTAACAGGTTCAGCTTGATTTGGAGGAAGTGTAATGGAGAGAATATTTACCTGGCCCAGTCTATATTACCAGAAACTCTCACCATTTCACCTAACATAGCAGCTAATAATGATGATTTACCACTACCTACAGGTCCTACTATTACAGTTAGTTTAGCTGAAATCAAAAACATTTTTACATCACTAAATCAAATCACATTACAAATGAGAGTTTTATGTCTCACGTTTCTGCTCATGATTGGGCTAAACAACAGACAGCTTCATGATTGGGCTATTCAAAACAGGCAGCATTATGATTGGGCTATTCAAAACAGGCAGCATCACGATTGGGCTGAATAAAACAGGCAGCATCATGATTGGGATAATAAAAACAGGCAGCATCATGATTTGGCCATTCAAAACAGACAGCATCATGATAGGATGAACAAAACACGCAGCTTCATGATTGGGCTAATCAAAACAGTCTTCATCACAATTGGGCTATTCAACACAGACAGCATCATGATAGGGCTAATCAAAAAAGACGGCGTCATTATTGGGATATTCAAAACAGGCACCATCATGATTGGGATAATCAAAAAAGACAGCTTCATTATTGGGATATTCAAAACAGGCACCATCATGATTGGGATAATCAAAAAAGACAGCTTCATTATTGGGATATTCAAAGCAGGCAGCATTATGATTGGGCTGATCAAAGCAGGCAGCATTATGATTGGGCTGATCAAAGCAGACAGCATTATGATTGGGCTATTCACAAAACAGGCAGCATCATGATAGGGCTATCATTTATGTTTATTTTCCTATCTAAACATCAAAATAATATTTTTTATTAACTTACCTCCCCTAATCTTGAGATTGATATCAGATAAATAGACAGACTTGGTGGCCAGATCCCAGGAGAAGTTTCCAGAATTTATCTCTAGAACTAATCTAGGCTCAATAATGATGACTTCATCTTTAGTCTCTGTTTCTTCGTCCATTGAAACAGCACTGGCATGCCGTCTGCGCACTTGTTTATCTACGCCATCATAACCTAGACTTGGAGCACTAGTTTTTCTAGCTAAAGGCGTGTGCTTCACTTCCAGAAAATGATCGCTTGAATTCCGTCCCAGACTGTGACGTTTCGGTTCAAACATTTCAAAGATGGACGCCCCACTGTTTTGCCTGCTGTGACATGGAGTACGTGACTCCACTGTGCTTTGACTACCATAACGTTCATCTGTAGAATTTTTTTTACTCAATAATTTATGGTTGCCTTCATCTGTTGACAACTCTTCTAAGATTATTTCCTATAATGGATAAACATTGCTTACAAAAGTATCAATTTTGTCCAGACCAAATTCAGAACTGGAAAATAAGAGCTAAAAACAGAACAACCACAAAATAAGTTTTCATGTAAAAACTTCACATTACCTCATGATCTGTAGCTACGGCAACACTGGCTGTCCGACGCCCAGTCAATTCTTCTTCACCTTCTACTTCATGAGAAGTTAGAAATGGTATTAATCTTTTAGCACTGACTTTAGCATTAGCTATAGCATTAGAGCAGACGGTCAATAATTGTAATGGTTGAGCTAATAAATTAAACAGAGCTAATGTTGACAGTGCTTTGCCTGCTGATAAAGGTTCATTTTCTATGAAGGGGTACAGCAGAAATGTCTGAAAGACAGAAATTATTGTTGGTCAAAGTTTTGAAATTCTTCTCAGCCTTGGTAAATTGTAAATGGTAAAGGCAGACGCTGACAACTTGGTAATCTGATCAAGTAGTCTTGATCATTAATGAGAGACATGGCATAACAGAATTCAAATATGGCTGAAAATTATTTCAAGTGAGCACAAATGGCCTCTGAATAGATCATTCCAAAAAATTTGTTTTGAGTCAAATTTAAACAAAATAAACTGCTGGTACTTACTGTCATTGCACCAATAGCCGGTGATGCCATACCAACAAATGCCATTAAACCACGGACACAAGACTGTGGATAGAGATAACTGATCTCTGTTTTTCTAGCCTGTTCTATTCTAGAGACAAAGGTATCTTCCCAAGCCAAGAGTTTAATACCTCTGATACTCTGTATGGTCTCATTGACCAGCTTTACTCTTTTATCTGAGTATTTCTGAAATGTAAAGGGGAAATGTTGTAGCATAGTCTTTTAATTAAATCCTATTGACCCTATTGAACTGAATTGCGTGAACACAATTCAAAGAAAAATAATGTTAGATCATAGATTTAGTTAAAAACAAAACCACTTAAATCAGATCAATGAAACTCATTTGTAGGTATTGAATAGCTTACCATGACTCTTTTCTGTAATTTGGACATAGCTACACCTAATCCATACATGATTGGTGCTGCTAGTATGACCACAGAACCTCCGATTATAGCACTTATACCCAGTTTAAAATATAGGAATGCTAGACCAATTACAACCTATAATACACAAGTATATCAAATAGACAATAGTAGTATCTGAAACGATCCTGTGTCGAAGTAGCCTAAATTATTTTCGAAGAATCAGCTCAATTTCAATACATATGTTACTCTCTGACTACACTGCTTTCTGAATTGAATTTTGGCAATCATTTTCTTATGAATTGAAATATCAATTACAAAATACTACTTAGAGTTTTGGGGAAAATTTAGTCCGAAAAGTAGGACATTATCATGTGAATTTTCTGGGAGGGAAATGCAAAATCACTCAACCTTATATTTCAGTAGAAAAATGTATTTTGAATATTTATGGAATGAGAGAAAAAATTCAATTCAAAGCTCAGCGTAGTCAGACAGTAGGCATTGATTCTAAAGCTCAAGGTTGGAGAATGACTGTGGTGAGAGTCTAGTCTATAAGCACTGGTGTGTAATGTGCAAAGCCGAATATCTAAGTTTGTTCTCATCTGGCCTCTGATAAAGTTTCTTATCTTTCGATGAATTTTAAAGATCTCCAGATTCCAGTGGTATATATATTGTAAATGTTCACTTCTTAAAAGTGACAGAAAACAGGTCACACATATTTTATTATCTTATTGATAATGCTATCCTAGAAACAATGTTTTAAGTTAAGACCTAAGATGACATCCTAGCACTAAGATCATTTTGAAAATACACAGTAATATAATTATAATATATCACTACTCACCTGGATGGGAATGGCCCATAAATAATGAATAAAGAAGAATAACAACATAAGAAACATAGAATCAACAGCCAAATGGTTCATTATTTTACCAACAGTTATTTTTCCACCACTCAATTCTAATGTGGACATTTTCAATGCCTTGTCATATACTAATGCCTGAAATAGAATTGCAAGAATATCCTGAAATAAATTGTCCAATTGCAGATCAAGAAACTATGATGTTAGCCAAAACTATTCTGACTATAGAATCTGTAAAGTATTTGATCTGAAGCCAATTTTGTTATGTGTGTCAGATTTTAAATCCATTGTCAGGAGATTTTGTTTAGAAATGTGGCTAAGCCATATATTTCAAAGGGACTTGAAAAACTCTATGCTGGTCACTTCTTGTTACCTGAATGGGGCATAGATTTTTCTTTTAGCTTGAAAAATATGAGATAAACTGGATTTTCAAATGGCATCATCTGAGAGATCTAATCAATTCAGTAGACCTGAGTAAAATGAAAACTGAAAAACCAAAGTTGCTGCTAGATGTAAATGCTTAGAATCTATGACCATTCAATTGATGACAATATCTTGTACTTGAGTCAATTATAAGGATATGAGATACTAGAAGAGCCAAATAACCAGGGCCCATCTTCATGAAACACAGGCCTACATCTCAATCACTAAAAAACTGAGCACATCAATAATTCAGCACTTTACCTGAATGGCTGATCTAAGACGTATACCCTCTCTGATAACTATATAATGATGATTCTGTAGTAATGTATTTTGTATTAATAAAGCTAGGAATACTATTACTGATAATACATAACCATTCCACATAAATCTCTCTACAGTTACATTAGGTCTTACCTACAACAAAAATATGCTTTAGAATTAATGACATAAGCTAAACCAGGAGGTGCTCAGGCCAGTGTGATGGCAGATCTGTTCCCTTCCAACGTCTGCACAAAAATGCAGAAGGCATCTCAAGTCAACTCTATAACAGATCTTAAATGTTCCCTTCCAACGTCTGCATGACATTTTCAGTATACAGTTGATAACATGAGAAGGTATCATTTTACGTTTAACTTCATCCATTAAAGTCTTAATTTTAAAGTGATACAAGCCCTTAAATTGGAATTTGGCGTAAACAAGTTTATTCCTGATAAGGAAACGTGGATGCATAAAAATGAATGAGCTGTTTTATTTTTTTGTATTTTGTTCAACTTATGAAGATGGATATTTTTCCTTAGAAACAACTGTTCCTGGTTTTGCTTACCAAAAAAGGAACTGTAACATTAGCACTGGATGACATTTCACGAACATCAAATGCATAATCTACAATATACTCAATTGAGACTGGACCAACAAAGGCTAAGAGATCACCAAATACTCTATAAACAGCTGCTAGCAATAACATTCTCCAAAAAGCTTTTAAATAACTTTTGGTTATGGATGGATCACAATCTTTCTGACTGGCTTTAAACTGAAAATAAATTTGAAACAATAATGATCACATGACTACATACACAATCACAGGGAGTGTACAATGAAGCAAATATTACTTATGAACCCTTTTGATAGCTATTCAATTGATAAAGATGCTCTCATTTGATGGACACATAATAATAGAGTCAAATATCCGGTCTCATATTCTCGAAACGATCTTATCTTTTAACATTAATTATAGGACATCCTAGCGATAAGATCGTTTCGAGAATACAGGGCCAGGATACCCAGCTGGTGATTTGAAATGTTAAATTTCAGCCTAAAGCATCATGATACCTGTGCTGGAAATTTTGCAGTATAATGTCTAAGCTAGTTTCAACCAAAGCCAGAATCAACTATAAGTACAAGGAAATGTAAAGAATAAAACAAATTAATTCTGATATTTTACCTTTTCTTCTTCAAACGTAACTCTTAGTTTTTTAAACTGAGTTTTGGCTTTTTCACTCTGTAATATCAGAAAATAATTAAACATTAGTAATTTGATGAGGACAATATTGGTTTGAAGACATCATACAATTTGAATAACGGTGTATTGAAATGATGTACGTATGTATATTGCATAATTTTTGTTCTTGGCAAAGTTGAGTCACATTTAAAAACATAAAGGCCTTTTTATCATTTTGAATGAATGAATGAATGAATGAATGAATGAATGAATGAATGAATGAATGAATGAATGAATGAATGAATGAATGAATGAATGAATGAATGAATGAATGAATGAATGAATGAATGAATGAAATTGGAAATTGGAAATGGAAATTGGAAATGGAGGAATGAATGGAGAAATGAATGAGAGGACTTACATCAGGAAGATCACCAAGATCATCTAACTGTAGAGGATGTTTATAGCCTGATACCATGATATCATTGACCCACCAATATACAGCTTTAGATAGAAAATTAGCATAGGACTGAATATAACGAGTATCTTCTAAATCTTCTGGAGCTTTTCTCTTTCTTGGTGTTTTAAAGAATGAATACCTCTGAAATAACACGGTTATATCATAAACATTCTACTTTTCAAAAATAACAATCTTATCAATAAACAGCTGTGATCCCAGTAAAAGCTGACTTTTAGCAGTGAATCTGATGTAAGTGAGCTTGATGTTAACTGACTTTAAGCTGTGAGCCTAATATTAATTTATTTTTAGCTGTTAGACTGGTGTAAGCTGACTTTTAGCTGTGAGCCTAATATTAATTTATTTTTAGCTGTTAGACTGGTGTAAGCTGACTTTTAGCTATGAGCCTAATATTAATTTATTTTTAGCTGTTAGACTGGTGTAAGCTGACTTTTAGCTGTGAGCCCAATATCAACTTATTTTTAGCTGTTAGACCCGTGTAAGCTGACTTTAAGCTGTGAGGTGAGCCTGACAAAAGATCAGATTCCACTTTGAGCAGGAGGTTAGATTGAATCCGATGTTAGCTGACTTTCAGCTGTGACTGATGTTAGACGTTAGATGTCTTTTGCTATCAGTCACATGGCAGCTAACTTTGTAACTGTGGCTTAGCTGTTGGACTGATTTAGCTGGCTTTCAGCTAGTAGTCAAATGTTAGCTGACTTCTAGTTGTGAACTTACGTAAACTGACTGCAAGATTTTTTGGGATAGCTTACACATAACATGGTTCAAATTTTTAGTTACTTAGAGGATAACAAAAGGATAGCAGACGGATATTGAAAAACATTGTGACTTACCTGACATCTAAGAACATTTAACTCAATAAGTAACAACAACCCATAACAAATAATAACCATCCAACATAACCACAATCTAAGATGTTCAATAGTCATATTGTTTCTATATACAGACAACAACTTTAATACTTTTAATCCACCAGCACTTGGCCAGTAGAGTAACAAGATCAGCAGAAATTTTGGGGAATTCCACATCTCCACGTTATGGTAATACACTATGGATATGATGGTGCCCAGAAAGGCAACGCATTGAGGAATGAATGAATGATAGTTGACTGTGTCTGGATCATAAGAATCAGACACAACTCCTTCCGCTATTTCTACAATATTGATCAACATAAGACACAAGGAGAGTAGCCATCTTACATTGTGACATTGAAAGTGAACCCAAGTTTTGACCTTGAACTTTCCAATCACAGAATGATTCCAGACGGTCACGATAAAGCAACAGATGAGTAAAAGTAAGGCATGAGGTATGATGTTGAGGACGTCCACGAAGCATTCGTTCTGTACCACTCCCTTTTCCACGCTGAATGCGTCTGAATCGGATCCACAAAAACCCATTCTGGACATTAAATGATACTGTATTTGGCAAGTTTAATTCATTTGGCAGTTTTTAACCTTAAATTTTCAAGCACAGTTCTCATCCATTTCACAATTTTAATAAATCAACATCAAATCCACTGGTAATTGAAACAAAATGGCTCATCACTGTATAAGGCAATTTGTCCCTCCTATATGTTGTAATCCTTTTCCACCACATGTAATTCAATACCCTTTTATTATTGGTCAAATGGTCAATTGGTCAATCTGCTGATTAATACCACTTATTCAATCAATTAGGTCACATCTTTAATGTAATTCAATTCTTTCTGAAAAGAGATTAATCATATACAATTACCACTTTATTTTATCAGTTTAAAAATCAGCTTTAATTTGAACAAAATGAAATTGTAAACCAATCATTGTAGAAGCAAACAGATAACCAATAGTCTTAAAGGGTCATTCCTCTTTTTTGGAAGGTCAAAAATTTTTTTTGCTCAAATTTTTGAAAACTTTACATCAAAATCTAGAGAGATGTACCCTTTAATGTATCTGAAAGTTTGAACTAAATGAATCTAGCCGTCAATTTTTAAACGCCAAAAATATTTAATAACATTATATAAGGTTTTTAAGTTAGTTATTCTTTTTGGAATCTGTATTACGTATTCAAAAGGTTTCGACCAATAATACTCTCTGTTTTTAATTAACCTTTTTGAAACAAATTCAGTTTGATCAAGAAGATACATAGATATAAATAGCTTACTTAAATAGAAATATTTTCATTTATAATTTACGACATTTTATAATGAAAACTTTTTACCAAAAAGCGGAATACCTCTTTAAATAACTGTTAACGGTCACCAAATGACAACTTTATCCTCTGGACATGCCTTGCTTGTGGTCAAAATTAGAAATCTTTTCCCAGTTTAAGGCTATAACTGTAAATGGGAACAATTTCATATAGTTTAAATGGTCATAATAAACCATGTTGAATCATATTATGCACAAGAAGATCAAAGTTTTTTGAACAACATCTGTTCTTTGAAAGGTATTCAGTTCTAAATTTAGTATAAAGTTCAAAGTAAGAATGTAAAATATCTGTGTTAGTTGATTTGATTACAGATAGTTATCTAAAACTCAACTAGCCATGGTCAATTGACTTCAATCAAATAAACTATGGCAACAGACCTTGTCAACCCAAGGCAATTTCAAAGAAATGGAGAAGTGGTCATATGTTTTTTTTAACTTTTCACATAATTACTTATATCAATTCCTTTTTATTTGATATCATGTTTGAAATCTTGTATGAACATTTTTTAATGTAAGCAGATATATATATTAAGGGATAGGTGGGCCTTTTCTTTTTAACAATCGTACCTTAACTTCTCAGCAATTTTGTTAGCTAAGCCAATCTGTAAGACACTGCCATGTATAGAAAAGACATAGACTAAAATTCATAAGAATTATTTCCAATTTTCGTTCATTTCTAGTACTTTAGAAGACTATTTACATATACAGGTTTCAAGACGAAAATCAACCCCGCCTGTCAGTAAAGCAAGTCGGAAGGGTTGGGATGGAAAAACCTTGTGTTCATCAGGCTGTCTTAAAGATCCCTCAAAATGTCCTGGCAAAATTGCCCTCATTGCACACTGCATGGAGGTCCATCTTCATGAGCTCAATTAAGTACAGAAGAGTAGGACATTAAACTCCATTCATTTTGATTCTGTAACAAATGATAGGAAATCCCTTACCGACAACAAAAGTCCAATACAGTATCTATATAATAGAATAATAAAGTTAATTATGAGTCAAGGGAAATACTTGGTATGACATATTCATTCATCATATGACAGTTTATACAAAGGTCAAAAGTTAGTATAAGGAAAAGTTATTACTCTGAATAAGCATATATCGGTAAAATTGAGTATTTTGCATGACGTTTAAAGTATGACTATCTTCCACTTTCCTTTTAACAAAAAAAAAAAAAGCAAATTAAGTAAAGCATGAAAAAAAGGTTTTCTAGGCTGTGAATGAATTAAAGACACAAGGTTTGATGATTGAAACTTCCTAATAGTTGCTTTGCTGCAACTAATGTATTGCAAAATGTTATTTTTGATTTCGAGTATCATTTAGCAAGTATCATTTAGCAGTACATTTAGCAGTTCGGAGTGTTATAGTAGCCTATTTGTTTTTTTTATAATTACTCATAACAATCTCTAAAATTGACCTATATTTCATACTGGAAATTCTCCTCCTTCTTCCAAGTAATAATTTTCTCTACAGACATCTCTCTTAGATTCTCAGAGCTACTTAGGATTTAATATTTCAATTCATATACAAATGAGATTAAAAACATTGTGTAATTGCGGTCAGATACGAGCCTAGCCGAAGAGAAGAGGGGTGTGTTACACATGTCGCCTCGATCAGCTGAGCTTGTAACATTCATAAGATAGAATCATTTGAATTTGGCGACACTATTTACTTCATGACAGGTCGACCAGTAAAAGTGGGTCATATATAGATAAGATAAGTAGGTAATATAAACACCTTCCGTTATTTTGACATCAACAAAGATAACACTGATATGAAACCACTCAAGCGGAACAACCGAACAACTGCTTTAGAGAATACCTGCTACTTCCGGTCAAGAACTTCCGGCAAATAAATTATTATTATTCAGAATGAAATGAGATAAAAATTTTCTTCAAAGAGTAGAATTTCATATTTTTGTGTTTTCAGTGACTTTGGATTTGCATAATTATATTCTGAATCATGTAAATAACCAATTAATTTGTATCCATGCGCTGACAAAAATGAAGGTAAGGGAGGCTACTCTATCAGAAATGTTTATGAAATAAAACAAGGAATCGAAAACATGTCTTTAGAAACTGTGCCAAAGGATTTAAGACATTTGAGGGCTTGTTTAATGTGCTCACTCATAAAGGTTGGTTAGAAGTGATATTAGAAGTGATATTAGAAGTAAACAAACAATCAAATGCTTGAAATTCATAAATTGACCCTGAAAAATAAAAAAAATAAAACAACAGACTCAGACTGAAACACTGAAACAGTGAAACTGAAGTGATTTGGAAATTTTTTCTGTTGGTGTTAACATAGCCTACCTACATACACCTGGAAGCATGTTTACAGCCATAACCTTCAGAGGGTTTCGTCTTGTTAAAGATTATTCTTGTTTTTTTTTCAGACTTTTGAACAGTTTGAATATGATGGATGTGATAATTGTGATGAACATCTTCATATGAAAAATAACAGAGATAATGTCTATGAATGTACCAGCTCTAACTTTGATGGGTAAGGAAATTTGTAGATGCTATTAAGTGCTTTTATTTTGAAAATTATTATTGCTTACAAGTTTTGCACACATCAATGTAAAGGCAAATACAAACATCTGAAAAGGTAAACTCATAAACTGTACAAGCATTTAAAGTGTGTTTATTTTATATTTTAGGATGATTGCAATGATGGGAAATGAAGATAGTTGGGTTGCCAAATGGCAGAGGATAGGTAATTTATGGTTGAATAATGCAATGCAATTAATACCGTTCATCAAGAATATATGCATGGGAAAATGCTGATAACATTCTGGAAACTAATGTCACATCTGTTTGTAGATCCTTATTTAAATTTAGACAAACCATGCTTCAGGCTACATAGGTGAAATTTACTCAAGCAAAATTTTGATGGCAATATCTCATGAATATTATTGTTTTTTTTTTGTATTACAGGTAGATGTGTAAAAGGAGTGTATGCTATATCAGTGACTGGTAAATTATCACCAAGAATAGTACGAGAATTATCTAGGAAAGGCATTGTTTATAGATCTAGAGACACCAGTATCAAGTCATGATTGCAATTTCATTATAGACATTTTCTTCATTGTCATTTTCATCTTGTTATGGAAGTTGTAAAAATTATTGAGGACACATGTGTAAACTTTCCATTAAAAATAATTTTTGAAGTTAAAAAGATTGTATAGAGGTTTCCTGTAATTTTCTATGATTCCTGAAGCTAAATGTTTGATCACATCACTAATTGCAAAATGTGCTAGTATTACATAAGGCCTTTCATGATTAGTGACTTCATCAAGTGGAATTGCAGAAGCCACAGACGTCTGAATGAAAATTGGAACTGTGCAAATGTTTCTATTGACACACATTAAAAATTTAGAAAACCTCATTACAATCCCTTTAAATAAAATTTTGAAAAGTAGTGTGTGAGAGTATGTGAGTATGTATGTCTGTGTGAACACTCTACAATGTGAAATGAATATACTTCATTATGAATATTTTAATAAAATATGATGTAAATTTATGAGTTATTAATTGTTACCTTTCTATGGATAATTTTATTACACCTATTCATAGTTTCCAAGTTATGTCTTTGGACTTAAATGAAATACGGGATAATTCTATTCTATAATCTTAAACAGATTTTAATTTAAATGTGAAAAGATAAAAAATGACGTTGCAGGGTCAGGGCAGATATGGACAGAACTGAATGCAGGCAAACTGAAAATAAAAAGAGAGTTAAAATTTCTAATTTGAGAAGTGATTATTCACAGCATTTATCACTACAGAACCAGAGCCGTATATATCTCTATACGGCTTCGTACAGAACAAAAAGACTTAGCTGTGGTCTGAGTCTAAAAGTTATCTTCCATATCAAAAATGTATTTTCGTATTACTCATTTTTCCAAAAGTATCATTTTCAGACTTCAAAGTATTGAAGTGGTCAGTATTCTCAAAAACGCTATTCAATTTTTCTTTAAATTCTTTCATTAAAAATTTTGTGTTAACACGATCGCGAAAAAACAAAGTGATTTCAATGTGACACTGGCAATGGTTTCGTATTTATTTCAAGATGGCTACTCTTGCAGACAAACTTTCTGACTTGGCAAATGTTGCTCCAATATTTCAAGATCCCGAAGACGATTTGTCTGATCGTGAGTATATATTATTCAAATGTACTATGCTCGATCTGACTGAGTATGTTTTTCTGAAAATTAAGGTCGTACTTCGCTAGATTCAGTGCCACATGGATGTAAACAAACCCACGTGTTGTTTAAAAGTGGGCGTGGTTTATTTTTAAATTATTGAATACACTTCGCTGTAGCCACTGTTACAATAATTAGATACATTCAAGAGGATTGACCCTAAGGCACCTCCAACTACTTAGTAAGCTATTACACTGCCATAGTTTAAACATTTGAAAGACAAGAGAGCATGTTTGCCTGGAACCTAATGATCTCAGAATTGAATCTTTCCGTCACATCACCCATAATGAAAATAAAAGTTGCCTTAGAATATAAGAAGAAGATCCCCTCCCAGTAAAGGGGAACAATCATCATTTTTGGATTGATTTGGGTCTTGAAGAAGTACTAATACGCACAACGCACATAATCCCTTAAAATATACCTCAAACTAGAAATTTCACTGTCTATTCCTATATGTGTGTTTTCATATATGGCAGAATCTCACTAAAATTTGAGTCGAATTTTAACTTTCAAACGTGAATAATTATGAATACAGATGGGTTTGGTTATGTAAGCTAAAAAAATTGCTGTTTCTGAAACTAAGGTATGATTGGTCAAACTGATAGTGAAGGTGCTCCTTTAAGACTATCATTACTATTTCAAACAATATTAAAGTTGAATGGATTTAAATCTGTGACAACTAAAGAGTGACAGAAGTCTTTTTTTTGAGTTGATCAACTGTATGATATCTATAATGTGTATAATAACTAATGTAATACTAGATATGGGTTATAATTTCAGTAACATTAGCCAAGTTAGCTCATAGAGGTGATGAAATAGACAGCCATGATAAATTCGGTTCTCATACTAAAAGAAGTGCTCTGAGAACCAAGTCTGTTAAATTATTGAGTGAAGAAGATAATAAATATGTGGGTAAAAAAATATCAAGACAAAAGTTACTTGATGTTGATCTCCAAGGTATTAGTCTTTCTTACCCCTATTGCATCTTAAAAAATGTATCTAAATCTTTTCTTCAATAGAATTCAAACATTACATTAAACAAAGAATATTTGTGTTGGGTGTTATAGAAGATACTTTCCTATAGAAGCACTGGCCATATAAGCCTTGATACAAATTCTTTTGTTAACTGAATTTTTTGAGAAATTTTATATAAAATTTTGACACCATATATATATAAATTGTAGTCAAAAAAATGCCATTTCCATATATTAGAATATTCTTGCTTTTAACTTCTTGCTCCTGATAAATGAGTTTACTTACTTTGCCATTACAACTTCCCATATATCGGAAAGTTGACCTAGAATTTCAAACCAAGCTTTCCTGATGAAGATTATACATCTGAAACAGTCTCCATTATCATGAGAGCTACAAGGAAACTGAATATGAGACAATTCCTATACGTAATTTATGATTTCAGAACAAAAAGTGAATACAAAAGCGTTACATGCTTTAAAGAAGAAATTTGACAATGATTCAAGTGATGAAGAAGAAGTTGGTAGTCAAAAGACAAAAACTAAAAGGAAAGTCAATGGGAATCTGAAAAATAAAGTTCAATCAATGTCATTAAATGAATATGGGTAAGTGTACAGTTATGCACTCATCAGACGACATTGAATTGGGTTAATAGCCATCTTGGATCAGTCAATATGGAAGGGAATTAGGGGTATTATAATTTTGGGTCAATGTACAGCCGATATGTCATTGAAAGATTAAACTTTTAGTGCTTCTTTGTCTTGTGCTTGTTATAGATGTCTGGACAGTGTTTCTTTGGTGAAATTTCCCTCATTGTACATGGTTATATCAGTCTTGATTGCCCCAACAACATTTGTATCATATTGTTAGATCATAATTTTTTGTTATTGATAGGTCTGACGATGAGGATGACAATGAGGAGGAGGGAGAGGATGATGATGATGATGATGATGATATGTATAATGTTGAAGATGATGATAATGAATTGAAGAATGCAGAGAAACATTATCAGTCCGTTCTGAAGAAAGCTGTGAACCAATTTAATAGGTAATAGCTTAGGGTCATTTGATCATTAAGAATGAGAATATGAACTGTTTTGGCATGTGATGCTATTCAGTCTACAGACTCTATGTGAAGCCTTGTATGGGTTCAATCATTTTATTCAGACTCAACTAAGCCGTGGATGAGTTAAGACATCAAAGATGACAAAATTCTCATAAAATGGCTGTAATGTTACCCTATTTGGTGGAATTCTGTTTCTTGCTTATTTTGGAGCAGTGGTTTATCATACATTAGATATTTATTTGGTAACTTGGAAGAATGTAGTTCAATCTAGGTATAAATAAAGTCATGCGAGTTTGCAAATGTATTTACATTACACATTATAGATCATCTTCTGATGATGATGATGATAATGATGATGATGATGATGATGATGATGATCTTTGAAACAGACTTCAGTAAAGATTTCCTTATAGAAGAAGATAAGTCAGAAAAGAAAAAAGGAAAGTCGAAACTGAATGGTAAAAAGGATGAATTCAGGTATGAATAAGATTTGAGTTTTTTTTCTTTAATGCATGTTCCTTTAATCCATTCAATTGGCTTTACCCATGATACAATGGGATTTCTAATCAGACTGTAAAATGTTAAGATACATGATTATTTTTTCAGTTTTGTTGATGATGGAAACTATGGGAAATATGGGGATGATGATGATGAAGAAGAAGACATGGATGATGATAATGATGATGAAAGTGATCTTGATGATGATGATGATCTTGAAGATGATGAGGATGATGAAGAAATAGACTCTGATGAAGTTGATGATCCTAAAAACAAGAAAACTAAAACTGGTATGTCTACAGTATGAATAAAAAATAAAAAGCAAAATATGATATTAAATTCTAAAGAAAAGTAGATGATAAAAAATAATGTTAAAATTGACGTAGAATATTGCAACAAGTTGGGTTTTTCCAAAAATTGGGCCAAGCTTTCCTGAAATAATTATTATATCAATTTGCTGTTTGCTTTTTCTTTTAGTTATTGAGAAAGATGGGATCAAACAGTTTTCATTAGATACCAATAATGAAGATGTAGAGAAAGGCAAGGCAGCTAAAAATCAGTTGGGTAAGTAAATGAATATTCGTCACTTAAGTTAAAGTTAAAAAACTGACAAAAAAGATAGGATGGAGATTAAATGAGTTAAGTTGTTATCTTGGGTCATTCAAAATGTAAAAGACAGACAGTACCTAGTGTTCGCTGGAAGATAATGTTATTTCTGCTCAGTACAACGTTCATGCAAAGATAGCATATCAGTCTCACAAAAAAAAAGCTCTCGTCATCCAAGATTTCTGACTGTTACACACCAGGAGAAAACAAAACTGTCAATAATTTACAAAATTTACTGCCTAGATTCCTATCTATGGTCATTCTATTTTATCTATATATATGAATACTAAGTATTGAGAAAATGGATACATCCACGATCAAAAGGCTCTCACTTTTGGACTTTTGGTAATGTGAACATATTTGTTTGTGCTCGTGTCTCAATGAAAGATAAAGAATGTTTATAAAAAAAATGGAATGCACATAAAAAAGCTTGAAATGAAAATTCTATTATTGTTATTTCAGCTGTTTGGGATGGATTATTAGAGAGTAGAATTAAGTTACAGAAAACAGTCTCTAGTATAAATCAACTACCACAACCCTCTATCTGGTCCTTATTTACTGAGTTAGGTGGGGACGACTTCAACGATCTAGCTACTGATGGTATGTATGTTCTGACACAGTTGCTTTGTTGAAACCAGGTTTTGGTCAATAAGCATTATAGCAAACAGACTAAAATTGACACATTCTATTTGAAATTGATTAATCTTGTATTTTTTCTAGCCCAGTATGAATTAAGAACGTTATTAGATAAACTAGTCCAACTACAAACTATACTATTATTACAAAACCCAGCTACTAACAAAATAGTGACGAAACAAGACCAAGAAATTATTGTGTAAGTTTTTAAAAAAATAAATTTCAGCATAGTTGATTAACAGCGTTGGGATTCGATCCTAAGAAAGTTTCCTTTAGATTTCTTAAACCAGATTTTCGTCTGTCATTGGTTAGAATGGTTGACAAAAAAAGGATCAAGGCATTTGGACCAGTGCCGTGTGTGATACTAGCTCTGCACTTTAAATATACCTTGACGAATTAGAAATCAAAAGAAAGTATGCTACTCCTGTTGTCCTGGAAAAATTTCCCTTTTTGTACACTGCATAGTGCATTCACATGCTCGGAAATTACCTCTGATGTAATCAATCATCTAACTGTAAGCATCAAATTAATTTATCTTTCTGTAAGATGGTGATAAGTAATCAACATATGTTGCAATTACTTGACAAGTAAACATAATCTATTTTGAATTTTTTTAAGACCACCTTCTACAAAAGGGAAAGCAGTAACAAGTGTTTCTCCTGAAGATGATGAAGAAATTACCAGTGATGAAGAAGATGGTGGTGAGAATAAAACTACACCACAAGTTGTCCTTCCTGCTAAACGTAAAATTCCACTAGATGAATATCCAGAATTTTTAGCTAAAAGACATAAAGACTTTATTCCATTTAGGTGAGTTGATCTTTATAAATCACCATCCATATCACTTTTTAGAATTAAAATCAGACATCCTGTTCTCAATGGAAAGAGGGATATTATGCATCAAGTTATATGGCATGATGTTATTTCTTTCTCTTTGACATTTCAGGAACGAGACTATCAATAAATGGAATTCAAAGACACAGTTAGTTTCAGGCAAAATTAAAAGTAAAGGTTTTAGTGCTTTTAATCAGTCAGCTTTGAAACAGATAGATCAGGTAGGACATTATTCAAGAGAGGACCAACAAATTCTATTTCAATCTCTGATTCTAATTGCGGGTTAGTGAGTTAGACGCTTGCACACTCACCTGAAGGTCCAGGGTTCAATCCCGACATAGGTCGAGTTAATACCTTCAGATTTTTCAAAGTTTTAAAAATGTTTAACAGTATTTGTTGTTTGTTTGACAGATATTATGCTTATATCAAATATGTTTAACAGTATTTGTTGTTTGTTTGACAGATATTAAGTGATAAAGACAGATTAATTAAAAGAACTCAGTTAAAGAGAAATGATTATAGAGTAATGGGTACAACACAAGAAGAAAAACCAGAAGAAGAACTCCCTAATGATGAGGTCAGAATCAAACAAAGTATATTTCATAGTTGAAGATGATATTGACGTCATTACCTGTGTATTTTTGCTTTATGTTATCTTAACATAAGTAGACAGAAGCCAAAAGAACCAATTGCAGATTTTAATGCTTTTTATTTTGTAAAAATTGATTTGTCGCTTTGTTGTTTGTGGGTAAAACATGGCGGCTGATTTTAAGAGGATTGGTCAATATTCAGCTGTGAATCATTCTCGTGGAATTGTAAATTGCATAGTTTCTTATTTAAACCAACAATTTTCAAAAATACCTATCAGAAGCTGTTCGTCCCAAACAAAATTTGGAAAAAATTTCAATTTTCAGAGACTGAATAAGAAATGTTTATCATATTTATGCTGTCATTATTTTTGAAGGTTGTAAATGAGAGGCCGATAAACTCAGCTGTAAATGATTATGATGTAGAAATATTTGATGATAGTGATTTTTATCATCACATGTTACGAGAATTTATTGATAGAAAATCTTCAGAAATAGATGATCCCTTAGCTCTTGGCAGGTAGGTTTATAAAGAAATCAGTTATCTTAATACTTATAAATGAAGCGATTTAATTGGCTTGTACGTTAGAGAATACAGCCAATCAGAGGTCTTGACAGAAACAGAAAGCTATAATGTTCATATCCTTTCAGTCAAGGGCTCTGATTGACTATATTTGCTTGGCATACAATCCAATCAAATTGCCTCATTCAGTGATTCAAAAAAAGTGCCTATTGCATTCAAGGTATAAGTAAGAAGTTCATAATAGCTTGATATCTACTAATCACCTAGCTTGACATTGTGAAGATGTTAAGATATCAGTAACTTGTCTCAGAAAACAACTAATATGAAGAAAGGTCTTAGTTAAAGTATTGTTTGTTTTTATTGTTTAGACAATGGTTAGAAGTACAGAAAAGTAGAACTAAAGTTAAAAGAAATGTGGACACTAAAGCTAGTAAAGGTAGAAAATTAAGGTATGTACACCCTCAAAAATCTTCTCAATCAAATCTCTGCATTTAAACACTTGACCTTATTCACGCCTTGTTTTTGAAAACTGAAAGCGAGGTTCATAACACAAATTATGTCATCGATTGATAAGATGGTGAAGTTATATGAATGAATAAACAATTTCACGTCATTAAACACTTACTAAACAGCAAAAAAATGGCCTTAAAACTCTCCTTTCTAGAAAATGTGTGAAGGCAAAATTCATCTGATAGTATCATTAAATAACTTAATCAATTCTAAATTTAATGATGTGAAATATTAGTTTTGAGTTAGTGGAATTGGAGAAGGAGGCTTTAAAGACGTCAAGGTGGCGATTTTACTGCAGTGACATAAGGTTACCTTTTCAAGATTTGCGTAATGAGCCTCGTTCTGAATTCAATATGGCCGACGTGTGAATAAGATCTATTGTAGTCTAAGTATAACACAAAGTTGGTAATAGTTAGACAATGTGAAGATGATACAATATGCTTAAAATAATTTAGGAATTTTGTGATAAAAGCTTGTTTAAGCTGTGACAGTCTGTATGATTTGTTAATATCTACAATAATAATTTTCAGATATAATGTACATCCTAAGTTAGTTAATTTTATGGCACCTGTAGATTTTACAGACTGGAATGATGATGCTAGGTATGTATTTTTATTGTTATAGCTGAATTATTATTGTGTGACTAAAAACGGTATTTTGAGAGTCCACATAGACTATAGGGTTACTTTGAAAATCTGTAAGTATTAAGCTAGGCTACTTATAAAAGTATGAAATCAGTGCATTAAAGGAACAGATTTCGCCATTTTTTTTACCATTTTGTTAGCTAAGATAATCAGTAATAGTGCAAACAGCTCACTGTCAAAATTTGAGCCTTCAAATCCATGTGTGTCCAGAATTATCTGCGTTTGAAAGTTAAAAATATGTCTTTTCTTGAGACACTGCAATATAGAAAAGACATAATAGAAATAGGAAGTGAAATTCCTAGTTTCAGGTATTTTAAAGGAATAATGTGATATTTGTACCCTCCAAAATGGGGCAATTGTCCCTTTAAGATAAATGACTAATGAAGGTCACAATCAATGCATTAATCCCTTTTATTTCCTTTTCTTTAAAAAGCTCAGCAGTTTCATTATTGATTTCCTTATAGTGAACATTATGTAGTAGAAACAAACATTTCCTGAAATGGTAGCCCCCATATGTAAATAAAAATTGTTTTCGTTAGCACTTTTTTAAATCCAAGTTATTTTGTTATTTCAGAGATGATCTATATAAAAGTTTATTTGGTCAGAAAGTCACTATACCTGAAGAAACATCTTGATTCATATTATATCTAAACAATGAAATTGTCTTTATTAAACATCATTTATATTATATGGTTTGCTTTAATTCTTGCCAAATAAGAGTGCTGCATATATAAACTATCAGAGCCATAACTACATCAAGGCCTCATGCTGAATCATAGAGCTTATATATTATATAATTATGAAGCAAATATACGACGACATCTCATTGCACACTGCATCATTAATCTGGCAAGTCTGCTAAAGGAGATAAGGTGGTTGGAGAGTTCTGCACATTCAGGATTCCTGTAATTGATGTTCATTAAAACAATTTGGAACTAGGTTCATATTGAGTTTCATCATAGTAATACATGTAGACAGAATTCAATAATGGAGAAAGAAATAGGTGGGAACTTTTAAAAAGTGACACAACCAATTCTGTACTATTTGATTAAGGCCAGAATTTGAAAAGACGGAAACCTGTTCAGAACTCAACAATCAAGTTCCATCCTGGAAGATTTAGCGCGTAAAGTTGAATCTCAAATGCAGGCCTTTTATTTCATCTAATTCATTTTTTTCATAGTAAGCAATCATTGCCTAGCAATGAGAACTTTAGAAATAAAGTTTAATACCAAGTAAGTGTAAACACAATGAGAGGTCACAATAAGTTTTATTGTTGACTATAACATATATCATCAATTCAACAAATATAAATATTACAAAAAAATATTATAAATATGGAATTCATCTTCATTATAACAAAATAACAATTTAATACTTTAAGCACTGTAAGTAAATAAATATTATATACCCTGTAATAACATCTTCACAATAACAAACTATTACAAACTTTGTCTAATACTTGAATGAAATAGCCACCTTTCTTGTATTACAAAATGCAGCATTTTGATTGGATTGTAGCAAATACAGCGAATAAAAGCTCTCGACAGAAATTCTGTAAAAAAGTAAACCAAAATGTTTACTGTCTGTTGAGAATTTGATTGACTGTATTTACTGGCGTACAATCCAATCAAATCACTGTATTCCATGATACAAGAAAGGTGGCTATTGCAGTCAAGGTATAGGTCAAAGTTGGTAATAGCTTGACATTGTGAAGATATTGCATTATAAGCATATGACATCACATTGTAACGCCGGTTTCACTTGCTGCATAGAGCATCTCAAGTTTTAATGCGTTAATACATTTTGAAATTGAGCGCAGTTAAGATTTGCAAACTGAGCACTAAGCACTGGCCATAATTTTAATATCCAGTGTCATTTTATTTGCACTAACACAAATACCATTCTAATTTTCAATCAGGCTTCTGTGGTTCCTGCAATTCCACTAATGTATGTGTTAGATGATGTCACTAATTAATTACGAAGGGCCTTATGTGATAAAGCATACATTATACAATAAGTGTCATCATCAAACATGTAGTTTGAGTGGAATTGCAGGAACCAAATTACACATATTAAACTTGAGCGTTTATGACACCAGTTTCTGCCAAGATAGCTATGACTAGAAATACAACATAGAGAATCATCAGGTAAACTCCCCAACCACGTGACATTCTAAATTTAGATAATGATACTATTAATAGAGATGATACCAGACTGAATCCCAGGAATCCTGCTAATACATATTCTTCTAATGTCAGATTGATCTGTAATTACAATCAAGTTAAAAAATACATGTTTTACAGCCATTTTGGGGGGTTGATTTGAGTGTTGAATATATGTAAATAGACTTCAGAAGTACTTGAAACGTAAGAAAATCGCATAATTCCTTTAAAAATACTTCAAACTAGGAATTTTACTCACTATTTCTCTATATGTCTTTTCTATATATCACGGAGTATCTTAAATTGACGAGTCGTCATTTTAATATTCAAGCACGTAGATTTGAAGGTTTAACTTTAGACAGTAAGCTGTGAACACTATTACTGATTAGCTCAAATAAAAGATTCCTGTTTCTGAGACAAATTTACAATTGGTAAAAATAAATGGTGCATCTGTCCCTTTAAAATGCTTAAATTTTAACATAAAAAAGCTAGATTAGATTCTATGGCGTTTAAAAGGAAATGACAATGTAAATTTACCAAGAGAGATATGGGTGAGTAAAAAGAATCAAGTTTAAGAAAGCACACACTATATTGTAAACCTTCCTCCCTGAATCATCTGATAACAGAAGATAATGCATGCTAAGTAAGCAAAAGATACCATTTTCAAGGCCATGTATTCTCGAAACGTTCTTAGCGCTAGGATGTCCTAGGTTCGTATCTTCTAACAATGATTCTAGGATATCCTGGCGCTACGATCTTTTCGAGAATACATGACCAGTATACCAAATAATGTTTTAGATCATCTTATAGAATTTGTCATCTGAATTTAACTTATGATTGGTGTATGTCAGTTAATTGCGATATTTTAAAACAAATAACTAAGCTCATGTGTTTATAAAGGACCAAAGTGAAGTCAATTGATAATTACTAAGAATCTTACCTTATAACTACCACCTTGTTTGATAGTACCAATAGTAAATGGTATACCAATACCTAATAATAAATCTAACAATAGTTAAGGAAGTATTATGCAATTTTCAAATTTTGTGTTTCCAGTTTCAAAATCATAATTTGATTATGAATTGCTTCGTAGGGGTAAGCCACAAAGATCTTAGGAAAACTGGACTGAAACTAGAAAAAAACTTGCGTGAAATTCTGGTAATTTTTATGAAATCATTTGTGCAGATATCCTCTTTTCTGCCAAAAAATTTGGAGCTCCCACATCTTTGGCCTTCTTTGCTAATTTTATACAATAATATAATATTCCTTCAAACATTTTATGACCAATATTATTGCCTATTTGAAACCTCTAAATTAACCCCTAGTCATCAACTTATCCAGAAATTTATTTTTTTTATAATAAAAAGATAAAGGATACTAAATAATGGTCCACCAAAACATGCTGATATTCCCATTCTAGGATAACCTTGTCTAGCCATTGCTGTATCTGCTATTAAATCTGTAATACAGAACAGTACATTATGTTTAATGGAACTGCCAACAATGGATATGCTCTATAAAATACATAAAAAAATGCTCTTTGAAACTCATTGTCAAAATTCTGTTCACACATGGATTAGAAGGCTCAAATTTCAACGGTGAGCTGTGAACACTATAACTGATAGATTAGCTCAAAAATTTCCGTTTCTGAGACTTAAAAGTACAATTGGTCACAAAAATGGTGAAGTTGTCCCTTTAAAAGGTCAAATTTGCAGTATATTTTCTTACCTCCAACAGAGTTACCCCAAGCTAAAAATGTTAATCCTAGAATAGCATTACTTATATCAAATACTATACCAAAAGTCTGAAAATAAATTATCATAACACATTGTGAGAGAAACAATTTTCTTTTTCTGCTGCTTAAGAGACAACATCATGAAGTGTGTATTGAGAGAAAAGTTAATATTATTTAAAATTTGGATATAATATACCTGTATATAAAAAGCATTTACTATTTTGTGTTGGGAAAATAGTGCACATTATTTGATATTGTTGCAGAAAAACCTTATAAAATACCTGTAAAATGTTGACAACTTCATTAGCTATACAATATATCCATATAACAGCTACTAGAAATCCTAAATAGGCAAATAACTGAAACATATAATATACATTATTAAACATGAACTGTAATTCCTATAAGAAGTTCATTTGGAATTTTAAGCACCTGATTGGACTAACGAAGATGAGCAACGCCATGCAGCGTCTTTTCGCATGCATTACATGCGCACACCCTAAAGTGACAGATTATTATGATGATGACGGTCAGGTGGGTTTAAAATACCAACCGCCCCAACCGCTAATAAAAATATTGTTCATTTTAAGGATAGCAGATGTCATACGAAACATTTTCAATTTGGCAGATTTTTTTGTGACATCAATATAGGAATCACATATTTCTAAAAAAAATCAAGCGGTTGGCAGTAGGGCTGTTAGGATTTAAAACCCACCCACAGTGGTCATTCAACAGTAGAAGAAGAAGGTCATGAATTGTAGATCTTGATAAAGAAGAAGGTTGTCAATTGTAGACATTGATATATAATATTAAACTATGTAAAATAACTTACAGGATGATATATTGGTTGAGGATGATGTTTAGATGATAATATAACTGATAATGTTAGTAATAATCCTATAGGTAATATTATAGCCCATACTGGATATACATTAAATATATACTTCAGTCCTACTTTTAATAGAAAACATATTAAAAATATTAAAACTTAAATCATGTTACTCAGGGTTCTTCAGACAACTGACTTATTCTTAGCCTGCATCCATACAGAACTGTGATGAGTAGAACTTATTTTACTTTTCGAGTAGTTAGGAACCTATTAAATAGATACTATGTCTGAATATTACATTGCAAGGTGATAAAACTCAATTTCTGCTACGTGTGTCACTTTTTAGAATCGAAATCCAATATCCTGTACTACCACAATTAAAAAAAACAGACCATGGAAGTTAAACTCTTGTTGCTTTATCAACAATCTCACTGGCATTAAGGACAGCCAAGAATTTTATTCAATTGAGGTAAACCCGTATATCAGATTTTCATTTTGAAAGTGATAAGGATATGCTAAATTGAGCTTTCTTCTGTGGTAAAGCAAAACTGATAGGTAAATAAGTATTTGTTTGACAAATTGATCAAATAGATGAAGCAACCCCTAATTAATTTAATACAACTCACTATCAATTATTATTCAAGATTAATAGATTTAGATTACTGAGTTTAATCAACTGATTACCTTGAGTATAATTTAATACAACTCACTATCAATGTTATTTTAATAGATTTAGATTACTGAGTTGTATTCTTTAATCAACTTATTATCCTGAGTATAATTTAAATACAACTCACTATCAATTATTATTTAAGTTTAATAGATTTAGATTACTGAGTTGTATTCTTTAATCAACTGATTACCTTGAGTAGAATTTAATACAACTCACTATCAATGTTAGATTTAGATTACTGAGTTGTATTCTTTAATCAACTGATTATCCTGAGTATAATTTAATACAACTCACTATCAATTATTATTCAAGTTTAACAGATTTAGATCACTGAGTTGTATTCTGTAATCAATTGATTACCCTGAGTAGAATTTAATACAACTCACTATCAATTTTATTCAAGTTTAACAGATTTAGATTACTGAGTTGTATTCATTAATCAACTGATTACCCTGAGTATAATTTAATACAACTCACTATCAATTTTATTCAAGTTTAAAAGATTTAGATTACTGAGTTGTATTCTTTAATCAACTGATTATCTTGAGTAGAATTTAATACAACTCACTATCAATGTTAGATTTAGATTACTGATTTGTATTCTTTAATCAACTGATTTTAAATCACTCACTATCAATTTTATTTTAGTTAAACAGATTGAGATTACTGAGTTGTATTCATTAATCAACTGATTATCCTGAGTAGAATTTAATGTCACTCACTATCAATTTTATTTTAGTTAAACAGATTAAGATTACTGAGTTGTATTCATTAATCAACTGATTATCCTGAGTAGAATTTAATATCACTCACTATCAATTTTATTTTAGTTAAACAGATTGAGATTACTGAGTTGTATTCTTTAATCAACTGATTGCCTTGAGTAAAATTTAATACAACTCACTATCAATTTCATATTCAACAGATTAAGATTACTGAGTTGTATTCTTTAATCAACTGATTACCTTGAGTAGAATTTAATACAACTCACTATCAATTTCATATTGGGTCAATAGATTAAGATTACTGAGTTATATTCTTTAATCAACTGATTACCCTGAGTAGAATTTAATACAACTCACTATCAGTTTTATTCAAGTTTAGTAGATTTAGATTACCGAGTTGTATTCTTTAATCAACTGATTACCCTGAGTAGAATTTAATACAACTCACTATCAGTTTTATTCAAGTTTAATAGATTTAGATTACTGAGCTTTTCTCCTTATAGATTGTAATTTGAGTTGTATTCTAATCAACTGATTACATAGAGTATTCGAATATGATATTTTTTTTAATGTGATGACTGGCATACCACTATAACCAGTACTCTTAACGAGAGAGTTCATGTTCAAATTTTTGGCACTTCTTGCGCTACTCTGAAACCGAGTGTCTCTAAACCTAATGTTGTTTATTTTTGCATATTTATACGCATTTGTTTCCTTTTCTAACTCAAATTGTAATACTTACATTTAGTAGAAAATATAGCAAACATAGGACCAGTGGTAAGATGGAGAGCATTTAAATATCGACACCAGTTATGATTTTCTACATCATAATCTACAACTGGTATAGTTAACTTTAACATAAATACCGCTGGACTCTGAAAAATAAGACCTACGATTAGTCAAATGGATGACTTCCTAGAAAATACCCTAGACATAGAACAGAACTACATTGGATCCATGTGCTTAAAACTATGGCTCCATTAGGTATCAACAAATTCATTTAGCTTTCCTACTGTCACTGGCCAACTTAATTCTAAATATCCAAGATCTCATCAATATATAAAATGATATGAAATCAACATCCAGAGTCAGTTTCAAGACCAAACCCGTCAAAGTTTAATAAAGAAAGCTTAAAGTATTGACAAAGGGTAATATGGTGGGAATATCTAGAAACTCTCTAAACAGTTACATGATAAAGAAAAAGCGCTTTGTTGCTCTTGACACTAAGATCGTAAGCACTACAGGCAATACATCTATTCAAAAATTATCTTGACACTTGTGATTAACATCATATTGATTTGTTCATCTTTAAAAAAACTATATAACAATCATCAGGAGTAGTTGATAAAACACATATTTTATCAGATATCATATTGACCCTTACTTGAATATAATCAAGGTTATCTTACATATGACTAAAATATTCAGATAACAAATTTCAGATATTGCCTAGCCAGCGTAACACATGGATGCTGAGTTTGTAATATTTGCCAAACATGTCCGTTTGTCAGTCTAAAATGGCCGGTCAAAAATAGCCTCCGTCAGACATTAAGTATAAATTATTACATTAAATGAAAAATATCAAATTTCCCAACCTCTGTTGCACCATACATTATCCCAATATGTTGACTCTTATTTTCAGAACAATATTATCACATTAAAGGGACAGGTTCAGAATTTTTGGGTGTTGATTTAGGTCTTGAATATTTGTAAATAGTTTTCAGAAGAACAAGGAATGTACAAAAAACCAACAATTCCATCAAAAATATCTCAAACTGGGAATTTCTTTTTCTATTTTTATAGATGCAGTCTTTTCTATATATGTCAGTGTCTCAAGAAAATTTGTCTTTTTAACATTCAAACACAGATAATTCTGGACACACATGGAAATTAAGGCTAAAACATTGAGCATGATCTGTGAACAATGTTACTGATTAGCTTAGCTAAAAATTCCCATTTCTAAAGTACAATTGGTCAAGAAAATGGTGAAACTGTCTACTTAAGTCAAACATAGATCAATCAATAACAATTGAACAAAATGTCAGATTGTCCTGATCATGAATTTATATCCAAAACACATAAGTCAACAGTATAAAGCTAAGATTCCATATAGGCGTCATGCGGACCCGTCATGCGTCACCCGTCATGGAATCATATTTGACGCATGACGGATCCGCAAGGGCCATTTATGTCCGCATGGAATCTTAGCTTAAGAGGTACAATTTGGTCCAATTTCTAGAGAACCTCATGTCAGATATTAATTTTGATAAGTGATATGTATACCTCACAATGAGCTCCATCTGCTGGTAATCAAGTATTTTGATGTCTATATCCTTTCAATAATCTAAACTATGATTAACAGTTCGTTGGAAACCAATGATCAAAGAAACTGTAAAAGCAAGCCCCCATAATGACTGAGTAACTCTTACCTTAAATATATGATATATTTTACCAAAGCAAGATGATTTCTGCCAGGCAGCACTATCAATAGGATTAAGAGAACTAAAGAAATGAGATATTGAACTATATGGTTGATATTCTACAGATACTGTGCTGTCTACGTATGCTGGTAATTTTTGATCTGTATTTAACAATGGTCTTCTTTCATCTACAATAAATATTATGAAATATTTTTAGGTCCATAATATGGATTTTGTGGGTTTGCCAATTCATGTCATCAAAAAGGATTAAAAAGATATACAGGTAGGACAAAAATAAGGGTTAGGAAAAGGTTTTAATGTGATCGAGGGCCATTAATTTGCATCATTCCAATTTTCCTTCAGAAAGACCTCACCATATATGAGGTCACTATGGCAAAACTAATACATTTCTCTCTGAATTTTCACCAGACGACAAGCTATAAATAATATCTGTCAATGCCTAAAGCTAGTGTCAGAGTTTTTGGGACTAATGCTATCATAGATAGGGAAACTTAAAATGAGAAATGTATTTATGATATCTGAAGGGAAAGTTTGATTTAGATGTGTTTCAACACAAAAACATAATAATAACAATATAGTTTGATCAATTTACATAGAAAGTCTGTAATCTTATAATACTGACCTTCTAACAGAGTATTAACTGATGATAAATTAGGATCTACAGATATAGAATCAGCAGTATCATCATCAGGATCAGATATAATCAATTGTCTAGTCTGAATTGCTGAAATATAACATCATACTGATAATCATCATCATTATCATTATCAGGATTAATCAATTGTCTAGTCTGGATTGCTGACAATCATCATCATCATCATTATCAGGATTAATCAATTGTCTAGTCTGAATTGCTTAAATATAATATCATACTGACAATCATCATCATCATCATCATCAGGAATTATCAATTGTCTAGTCTAGTGATCATACATGATCAGATAATGACATCACCCTTATCAATATGAAACTACATCATCATCATCATCATCATCAATGACATCATTAGCAGTTTCAACAATGTATAGAAAAAACTTTATCATTTAAATGTAATTAGTGAGCATGTGTCTTATTAAACTAAAGCTAGAAAAGTTTACCTGTGATAGTATTTTGGGTGACAACTGTTACAGGTGGCGCTGGTTGTCCCCTACTTTTCTGATAAATATATCTACCAACAACGACAACTAAAACATAGACTACATATAACCCTATAAAACCTGTAATACAAAAAAATTAGAATTTTCACTGTTGAAATATTGTGCTCACTCCTTTGGAAACACCTGATGATACTTCTCTTAGAAGGAGTCCACTACTATACAACTTTTACTCTCGATTTTGCTTATTCTTTAGTTTAGATTTTTGATTGACGGAATTGTCTTGCTTGTACAGATTTTTATTGAATAGGTCATCTTTCTTTATTTTCAATAGACCCAGAGATAATCTGGAAAAGATCAATGCCAAGAAGTTTGGTCAAGGATTACCTAGTAGAAAGGATCCTTGTGAATCTTTAAGTTGTTAGCCTTGTAATTTGTTGTTCCTTTTTTCAAGTCTCTTTTTCAGATTTCCAGATTTCAAATATCAAGAGAATACTTAAAGGGTGGCACCAAAGATAACAACATCAAAATGCTTGTCTAAAATAGTTAAGATACATACCAATAGATTCATATTTTGTGATCTCCTTCTTCCACAGGATGTAAAATGTCCAGAAGACAGCTGCCAGATAAAATATAACATCACGTAGAAATGGTCGCTGCATGGCATCAAATGGACAAATTATAGCTATGACTCCTGCCACAACAGTTGTGACAAATACTCCAGCACCTGGAAGAGGTAGTTTCAAATGTTACATTGGAACCAGCTTAGGTTCAGAGCAGCAATGGAAGGTGTGGCAGGCTAGGTTATGCTTACTCTTCTTGACACCTGATACCACTTTTCAGTATGAAATACTTACTCACTTATGATTGATATACTCCCTCATATAAAAAGTTCATTAGCTGCTACCAATGTTTCACTAATACATTGTTCTGGATTTCAGGTTTTGTTTTGTTGTTCAGATTGTTACAGCTTCTGAGATTAAAAGACGAGCGTCGAGTATCTTAGACAATCTGTCAGTTTGAAACAAATTATAATGCTGAAGTATTCCACAATGAAATGAAATATTCCACCATTTATTTTACCAAAATATATTGGATGATATATGAATCTTGCTGAAAGGTCAGTAAAAATCTTATAATCTCACCCAACAGAGCACCCATAGCCAACCCTGCATCTCCATTTTTAGCATTACCAATAGCAGCTATTGCTGAAAATATATCAGGAGCACCATTTCCAAAAGCTAGAAATGTGACACCTTAAAATAGGTTAAGGAATGGCTCATTAATTTTCATTTTCTTTATTTTCACCCCAAAACACTTAGTTTTAGTGAAATTGCAGGAACCACAGACATCTGTAATGGTGAAAATTGATGGTATCAGTGTCCCCGATAAACATAAAAACCTCTTTACAATCCCTTTAAATACAGATGTTTCTATTTCAAAAGGATATTGCTATATTATGACTAAGTCCAAGAGTTTTTGATATCACAGTTAAAGCTGGACAAAAACTGAAAATAAAATCAAATTTTTCAAATTAAGGCATTGCTGTTGGCAAATATCCCCCCCCCCCCCTTCAGCTACAGGCCTGGGTACAATCCAAATTCATTTGCAATGCAGACACAGTACAGAAGTGGTATCAGGTGTATCAGAAGAGTGTAAATGTACTTACAAATCATCAGCTGTTACAGCTAATCCAATAAATAACAATAACCACCAGATCAGCTGAAATAAATCAAAAAGGAAGTATGAAGAAAATACTTCCCAATGTAAAGGAAATCAGCAATTGTGTGGCAAAGTAGATACAACTACTTACCAATATAATAAATATTATATAATTACTTATATAAAGACAGCTAATGGTAGAAATTGTGTGGATACTTACCAATATAAAGATATCTAAGGGTAGAGAGTTTATGGATACTTACCAATATAAAGACAGCTAATGGTAGAAATTGTGTGGATACTTACCAATATCAAGACATCTAAGGGTAGACAGTGTATACTTAATACCTACTAGTATAAAGACAGCTAATGGTAGAAATTGTGTAAATACTTACCATATAAAGACAGCTTATGGTAAACATTTTATTGTAATAGCTACCAATATAAAAACAGCTATGTTAAAAGATGTGTGAAGGAAAAGTAGTAATTACTTCTTATATAAAGACAGCTTAACGCTTGGATACTTACCAATATAAAGACAGCTAATGGTAGCAGCTCTGTGGAGAAATAACAGTATATAAATGAGGTATATGTAATAAAACCTTCATCAATGGCACAACTTGCTGTTTGGTTCACAAAATCACAAATATCTGTTATATTGTCCAACTTGTGGAAATCTCGACACTGAAATGCAAGAGCAAGAAAATTAGTAGATTCATATAGAAATAGAGACAGATTACTAATCTTCATTACTATACAGTCTAGTTTTTTGTGTCTTAACACAGTGTATTCCTCATTTTATGGAAATCTAATCATAGGAGCATACTGTAAAGAGCACCATACATTGCCAATAAGTAATATTCCTTGGAGAGAACTGCCTGATCAGACCAATGAATTTCATTTTTGTGTAGATTTAGTTTGTTAATTTCTAGAAAAGAATATAGTTATAGATATTTGTCTTTGCTTTCCTTGGCCATAGTAAAACCAATTGATGACTTCTGTATTTAAAGCTAGGAGCTCCAAATTATTTCTTACAAATTATGATGACACTAACAAAGCGAAACTTGTTCTGGTTCTGGTTGTGAATCACTGAGTCTTGATCCCCTGGACCCACTGGAAAGGTTCAATGGATTAAATTGTGTAAAATGAATTGGATCATTCAATGCTGTGTTACCCAAGAGAAACGACATTATACAGATTCATTTTACCATAGCTGTTTTTTTTTATCACAACGTATCTTCAGCTTCTTGTAGTCGTTACTCGTCAACAGTGTCATGACCTCTGACATAATCCGGCACTGTCTGAACACACGTGCATTCCACTTCAGATGTGAAAATTCAGCAATTCAGTACATTGACTCTTAAAGGGGTAGTAATCAGGTTTTCTTAACTTTTATGCAAATCGGGGACACTGATAGCATCAATTTGCAGCATTCCAATTTTGAGTCAGACGTCCATTGGTCTTGCAAATTTATTAATATTAAACTTTCAAGACGTTGCCACCGCAAAGGTTATAAGATATTATATAGTTCTGTGGATAGTGACGTAATAAATGTTTATGCATCTCTGTAATTGCAGGAACTACAACAATCTGACACAAATTTGGTATAATGCTTACATATGGTCCTGATACACATAAAAAGCTAGGCCTACCGGTCCTCATGTTTGGACTATGCTTGGGTCGAAGAGGAGTCCAGATTGGCCTATTTCACGAAAAAATATGAAATTCGTTTTACCTGTACATCATCCGTTGAATCACGCAAGCTATTACCATCTTCCAAAATGTTGTACAAACGCAGAGTGGTGATATTATTTGAAAATTTCAACATGTTTTACATTTGTTACCTCCTACCGATCATAATGAAAACTTTCCTCATCTAATTTAGTTCTTTGTTACAGGGAAACTATTTATTATTTCACCCAATGTGTATCATTAATTACACATTAATATGTCCCCATTAAATTTCAACAGTGTTTTTCTGAAACTGTCACATATTATTTTCCTTATAATCACAAATTTTTTTATTATAATCTGGTAGTTCACTATGTAAAATCCAACATAAACGACTAAAAAGTCCCGGTGTTTTACAGATAATTTTACAGTGTATACTAGTAGAAAGTATTAACCTTATACATATAAAACGACATAGCCTAATATTTTGACCGAGAGAGCATTATCAATAGACCTATATAGTTATACTAATGTTACTGCATTTACAGCACTTCTAATTCAAAACGACTTTTGTAATACAATGAATGTTAAAACATTACACTGTAAAAATAACTGTAAAATTCCATTTCCTTGTCCAAACGAATAGTTACTACAACATTAGAATCCTCGAAAATAAGGTGACTACACTTGTTAGTTTAGTTTGTGGGTATATCCAAGGCCCGATTATGGACAAACTTTGTGTTTTCACAATTTAATTTGTTACTGTAATTTTATGCACATGAAAACACACCACTACACTGTCAAAAATCATTGTTGAATATCACAGACCAACCTTCACTTGAAAAGATTGCAGTATATCAAATCAATATTCAATATATTTAAACACGTCTAATTTTTTCATTTATTCGTTCCACACCACTGGTATCTGAATATACACATATAATATTCATGAAATGAAATCGAAATAAACCTCTCAAAATTTGATACGGTTGCACAGTGTCAATATTTGTGATATAGCTAGGCCTAGATATAGATTTACAATGTACGTAAACTTTCAGAAGTACAAGCTCAATTATGACTGCATATTGCATGAAAACGAATCAAATACAGTATTCTATAATTCCTTAACACCATCATTTAAAGCCATTCTCACACAGGAATCCTATTGCTTATATCCCATTGTCACACATGACTACTACCTGTGTTTTTAGGTAAAATCTCGTGATTAGTAAACTTACTAATAAAGAGATGAAATGATCTATATTTACCTGATATATATAGGTCAACATAATACTAGTAATATCGACGTGATCTTAAAACACGTTATTATATATTATTATCAAGGACAGTTCTTTAACTTTGTGGGTACATGGTCTTTACGATGATGACGCCAAATTCTAGAATTAGCAAAATTGGAATTGTACAAATATAAACCATAGACCCGAGAGTTTCCATTTACATAACAGGTCAAGGCTTGAAAACATTTTTGAATGATTTGATTCAGTGGCTGAGCCAATCTTCCGAGAGGTTACAAATAGGCGACAGGCTGACAAAATGGGGGTGGGGGGAGATGTCGGGGGTGAGGTTCCAAATAGCTCTGTAGAAGCGCCCTAGTCGCAAGCCTTCCATAGAGCGTCTTAGAGGGGTCTTCCGAGAAATTTTTGAAAAATAGAATTGATTTGGTATTTCTGAGACATATTTTAGGGCAACAAACCATTTTCTTAGGGGAGCAAATGCCCCTGTGTACCCACACTTGCACTGTCATTGCTTGAAAAAGACTATAATTTCGAATAGTAAAAAAAATCTAGAAAAATTGGAATTACATGTCAAGATTCTTTCATCCAACGAAAACCGTTAACTCTAAGGACATGGAAATACAACATCACGTAGGCAATGATAGCAGAATGTTTAATATGACTGGATTCCTGATTGCTTTGTCAATCGTTTTAGTCGCCCAAGCCCACTTTAATCTACATTAAATAAAGGTGGTCTAACTGTGTATTGTAAAAATGGAGTTATTTCCCTTTGGCCAGTACACGCCGTTGGGAGATGTAAAAGACGAATATATGGGTGCTTGTCAGTTGTCAAACTGTAAATTTGAAGATTATAATTACAGGTTACAGTTTTGGAATTCTAATCTTAACGGTACTTATTCTTAAAAGCCTGCAAACGTCTAAAAACTGAGCAAAATCAATATGCTCTCGCTGACCTTCAAACGTCATTGAGGATAATTCGATATAGAAAATATAGTACATTGTATCAATAAAAATGTCAAGAAAATGACCCTACCCCTGTATCTGCTTTGGACCATGGCTAGATTGCTGTACCAGCAAACCTACTCGAGTGGCAGAGCCCTCACCCCAAATTGAATAGGCCTATGTTATTTCATATTGTATATAGGTAGATATAATGGTAATCCTACTATGCAGTTGATGAATGGCATAGGTTGGTTTTTGACTGAAAAGTTTGATTTCCAAAAAAGTGGCATTCCTAAGGATAAAAGTTATTTCCCAATGCGAAAGCTTCCCTTTGAGGCTTCTTCTAGGTTGTCATTAGTACTTAGTAAATTTATTATTTTTAGTATTCCAAGGTCATGATTTTTCGATCAATGGCAAGATGGGTAATCATATGTAAAACTGAAAATTATGCTTCCAATATACATCCATTAATACAATGTCTAAAAAAATTAGCCTTCTAATCTACAAAGTTATATATTATATGCTTTGTACATTGAAAATAGCTAGTAATAAAAAAGCCTCAAAGAATTCTCCAAGTAAGAATTAATTAGAATTGAACCATATGTTGGGAAGCTAATTCAGGAGGAAAATTGGAGGTAATTAGATTTGAAACAAAGACATGATGCATGCACTAGAGCAGAAGATAGTTACATTGATAAACGACTTGCTATATTTGTCACACTTCTCTTAATTAAGATAAGACCTCTGTGTTTCCTGCAACCTGGCCACCGCGCCTAATTAGGATCAAATTCCTTGAGTTTGCATCTTCATCAATTAGAGATATCCTGAAATAACTTCCCCCCTATTCTCAACCTGAGATCGACAGCTACTAGTTTATTGAACTTTCTGGTAGAAAAAAGAAATCATTAGGGCTGAGAATTTTTATTTCTGTTTAAATTAGCAGCGAACTTTGATATACACATAATGTTCAGTATTAGCATTCCAATTTATTTTTTTTAAGTGCAGAAGTGTGTCATCTAATGGTATTAAAACCAAATCAAACCAAGCAACTAACTAAGAGGGGGGCTGGGCGCAATGGTAGTGCAAGGGGGCAGTGCCTCTTCTTTGCCCTTTCCCCCCAACCCTCCCCCTTGCAAAATTCTCAATTGAAGCTGAAATCAGTACCTATCAGCTATTGTCCCCCCTCTCCCTTGCAAATCAGCCCTCTTTGGCACATTGGGCTGGTAACAGACCTGTATCCAACCCAGATTTAGTGGAAAGTTGGGAGTGGAGTTACTGCAAAGCCAGGCCAACCTCTTTTCTGGCGGGGAGCCATGTCCTTAGAAATGCCACATGGTGAAAAGGTTTGAGATCACTCCAGTCATCTATAGAAAGCACTAAATTCGGCTTCAAAGTAGGATTCAAACCTATGCCTAGTTATGGCCCCACGGGTACTATTACCACTATAGTCTGTGATATATTTTTTTAATCAAAGGAAAAATATCACATGTAAATTTTTGAGTTATTCAAATTAAATTGGTATCAGGTGTCTTTTGTTTTGTTTCCTTCATCATGCTTGTTTAAATTCTTAATGAGTCTTGAATTTTAATTTCAGAGAGTGGTGTAATATGATACTATAATAATGTTATAGTAAAGTTCTATGGTGGACATCATGTAGATTATGATAGTATTTGTATGATGTAATTAAGTGAGAGATGACAAGTTAATATGTTGTTCTTATAAACAATCTGACAGCTTATTGTTATACAGTGGACAGTGGTCACTCTTAGTGGTCATCTTTTCAAACTTTTCCTTTCATTATGGATAGTCTAGCAGGTAAGTGATCTTTTCTTTGGTAGCTTCTGAAATCTCCATTAGGACTGTAGGCAGCAAAGCCTGGAATTGCTTGGAGGGCATAGCATATCACAATATCTTGGTTAATTTTTCAAAAACAATACAGATACAGAAGGTTAGGGGATTGTAAAGAGGTTTTCTATCTGGGACACTGATAGCATCAATTTGCACCATTCCAATTTTCATTTCCATGTCTGTGGTTCTTGCAATTCCATTAAAACTAACGCTTTGAAAGAGGGGAGCTACCGGAAGCTACTATTAATATATACATAGCTCCCCTCTAGTGACGTCATAAAATGCGTTAGTTTTGGTGGAATTGCAAGAACCACAGACGTCGGAATGAAAATTGAAATTTACAATCCCATTAATGGTGTTTCTACCCTACAGCTTCCTTTCCTATGTGACTTTTATAGCCAGTGTGTTTGGACTCATCGTTCTAAAAGATGATTACAAGATTCAAACAGTTGTCTTTAGATGCATCTTCTGAAATGTTTTGCATGAACATAGTTGAACATAAGTTCATAATCGTTGTGTAAATTGATTTTAAAAATAGTTTTAACTCTTAATATAGAGAATTTAATTTAGGCTTTCTTAAAATCAAAAGCTGATTTGTAAATATTCTTATCACCAAAAGAAATGTCATGACAAACAAGGACATGGTCCTGTCTAACATTCAGCCCATATGTAAAGTATGTGAAACAAGGAAAAGACAGTATTTGACTTTGAAATTGGATACAAGTACTGGATACAAAGATAAATTTAATCCTATTATGATTTCACACAGTTAATTTGTTAAAGCAAACAATTGTGCAGTGTAAACCTAACTTATGATGTAATATTACATTGGTTATTGAAGGAAATAGATGTATATTTAGATTAAAGATGGGTAATGGACTGTATAAAGTTTTAAGAAAGGTTCCCACTAGGACATTTGATAATAAATCATATTGAGGATTAAATTAAGACATGGACTTTTAAAGGAGAGATTCCATTGAATTGGATATATTCCTTGGTAAGCATTAAATTTATAGGTAACATAGCAAAGTTTTGTTGTATACTACTTTTGAGTTTTATTGTACATTTTTTGGATGCTTTACTTTAGTGTTATCAAGTGAATTTGTTCTTATCAAGTGAATTTGTTCATTATCAGGTGAATTTGTTCAGTTCTCATCAAGTGAATTGGTTCAGTTCTCATCAAGTGAATTTGTTCAGTTCTTATCAAGTGAATCTGTTCTGATCAAGTGAATTTGGATTTGTGCTAATCAAGTGAATTTTTTGAACTGTCAACAGTTTGTAGACAACGGTAAGTTTAATTAATAAATTTAAATTTGTATCCCCTGCTGATATTGAGCAATATTAATGGTTGTTCACTGTTATTGAGACTGATTTCCATAAATTGGCTAAGTATTTGGAATAGGCAATGGTATACACAATACAGAAAAAAAGAAAATATGAATTTTATTACTTGCATGCATTAATTGGTGGTTTTTATTTTTAAAATGTCATATTTTCAAAATCAAATATTTCAAATAAAATTTATAGACTATGGCTTTAACCCATAAAATTTTTAAAATATTTTAAGTGATAACACCCCTTTAATAATAGCTTACAGAGATGAAGGGATTTGAAAGGTAATAAAGGTTGATTTTATTGTCAGGTATTTAAGTTTATAATGTATAATATTGTCAGTCTGGTACAATATAAAGATTATTATGATAGATTATGATCATTGAGCGGATTTTCGAAAAGAGAATTCGCTTCATGAACAAGGTGCTACCTGCATAGATTGACTTAGTATTCAGATTGAACAATTGCAAAAAATTATGCGAACAATCTCAAAAATGATGATGAGAACGATCTAAAAAATGATGAGGAGAATAATCTAAAAAATGATGAGGAGAAAGATCTCAAAAATGATGAGGAGAACGATCTCAAAAATGATGAGAATAATCTAAAAAATGATGATGAGAACGATCTCAAAAATGATGAGGAGAATAATCTAAAAAATGATGAGTAAAAATGATGAGAATAATCTAAAAAATGATGATGAGAACGATCTCAAAAATGATGAGGAGAATAATCTAAAAAATGATGAGGAGAAAGATCTCAAAAATGATGAGGAGAACGATCTCAAAAATGATGAGAGAACGATCTCAAAAAATTATGAGAACGATCTCAAAAATTATGAGAACGATCTCAAAATCTGTAAATAATGTTGTCAAACCTTCAAGTTTAGGTTGTAGAATTTTAAGTACCATTTAAAAAGGTATTTTCATAAATGGGTTTACTCATGAAATATTCTGGGGAACAGCATCAGATATCTGAAATAAAGATGTTATTTTGGGATACAATGTATATATAAAATGTTATAATGTTAGATGTAAGTTCTATGTAAAGTAACATATGATTGTAAGGTTAAGTACACATGTCTAAACACTGCATGTTTTTATTATCATTTCAAATGTTGAAATTTGACATTTGCTTGTTTGTTTTCGAACCATTCCTGATGTCTATATATTTAAAGGAGAACCTTCCTGGAAAATCTTTTAGAGGCCACATATTTGATTGTTTCCTTACTTGTGATTATTATAGCATAGCACATTTAAGCAAGGGCTGATGGAACGGCTCAGGGTTCAGTGTTTCTCAGGACCTCCACCCTACCTGTACGAAATGAATTAAAAGAGACAAAACAAATTTTGTTTTGACAAAAATAGATTAAAATCAGAGTCGTAGGGCCCTGAAACCTCTGTCATGAACTTTAAGCATTATACTATCACAGACAGTTGAATTAAAATTAGACCAAACTTTCATTCCGATTTTAATTATTTTTTATCTTTAATTTAGCCACTTCAGTTAGGGTCTAACGACAGTCTTTTGAACTTTCGTCAGTTTGATGACACCGTTAGCCTATCAAATATAGTACGACTTCTTTGACCACATAAACATGATGCAGATCATTATTATAGGACTTTTTTGACTACATGAACAGGATGCAGACCATTATAGTAGGGCTTTTTTGACCACATGAACAGGAAGCAGACCATTATAGTAGGACTTTTGACCACATGAACAGGATGCAGACCATTAGAGTAGGACTTTTGACCACATGAACAGGAAGCAGACCATTATAGTAGGACTTTTGACCACATGAACAGGATGCAGACCATTAGAGTAGGACTTTTGACCACATGAACAGGAAGCAGACCATTATAGTAGGGCTTTTTTGACCACATGAACAGGAAGCAGACCATTAGAGTAGGACTTTTGACCACATGAACAGGATGCAGACCATTAGAGTAGGACTTTTGACCACATGAACAGGAAGCAGACCATTAGAGTAGGGCTTTTTTGACCACATGAACAGAATTCAGACCTTTACTCAAAGGTTCGTTCAAATTTCCAAGAAGCAGCTCCTTGGATATAGATTTGGCGAAGTCAAGTGAACAGTTAGGATATGACATGTTTTTTTGACCACACGCGATCTATTATTTTAGGAGGGTGATATGTTAGTACAGCAGTGAGAAGGCCTGCTGTGTGATTCCACGAATAAAATATAGTCCCTGTTGGAGGTACAAAACATCTCATATTCTCTGTTTATATTTTCTCTTATCATATCTTGATGGAGATTAGACTATCAATTATAATGGTTGAAATATGTGTAGGAGTGGAAAAATTTTGAAGAGGAGGGAAGTAGGCACCATGAGAGTGTTAGGGTGATACGAAGATAGAATTCTCATAAAAAGCATGGGCCTAGGTCATGAACTATATATTTCTAAGTTCTGTTAAATTTAGTTCCGTTTGTATTTAATTTTTAAAAAAAATTGCCGTGTAATGAGGCTCTGATTGCTTCTTTGAGGATTCTAGTTGTAAAAAAAAATATCTTGATACTGTGTTATCAGTGTAGAAGCAGAGATCGATCCAACTCTTGCAGATTTTAACCTTGGCTCCCAGCTATCAGCTCTGAAAATTCAAAAGTTTTTCAAATGAATCCACCATCTAGACCTTCAGATGATTGTAAGCAGTTGCTTTGGTTTCTTTGGTGAGCAATTGTCTAGTGAGCATTTGTCTAGTGAGCATTTGTCTGGTGAGCATTTGTCTGGTGAGCATTTGTCTAGTGAGCATTTGTCTGGTGAGCATTTGTCTGGTAAGAATTTGTCTGGTGAGCAATTTTTCGGTGAGCATTTGTCTGGTGAGCATTTGTCTGGTGAGCATTTGTCTGGTGAGCAATTGTCTGGTGAGCATTTGTCTGGTGAGCATTTGTCTGGTGAGAATTTGTCTGGTGAGAATTTGTCTGGTGAGCAATTGTCTGGTGAGAATTTGTCTGGTGAGCAATTGTTCCTTGAGCATTTGTGTAGTGAACATTTGTCTCGTGAGTAATTGTCTGGTGAGCATTTTTCTGTCTGGATCTGAATATTCAGTAGCTATTTCAACAAAATTTTAGGAAGGAACTTTTGACAGAATGGCATCAGATATTGTTCTTCTATTAATTTTAAACAAGATCAAATAAAGTAGTATTTTGTAGACAGAATTCTGGAGAACTTAATGATTTTGATATTGGCTTTATTTTTTTTGGCTCCTTGATCCTCAATTGTGTTGAAAATAGTAAAAAGGGTTACAACTCAAAGTTTTCTTTATCTTTGGTAAATTTGGATCCACTATCTTAACTAAAGACCATTGATAAAAGCAATTGCTGACAATGAAGGCATATCTAAGCTATTAAATGGAACCATAACTTTGCACTGCAAGGTATTCTTTGAGACTTGATGCCTGCAACTAGAGTAGCACCATTAATCACAGAGTTAATTATATGGTATTTATATTTTGACAGTTTTAATGCCTCTACTGGATACCAATAATTAGTCTTGGTGTTATATGGACAGCATTCACCACCACTTAATTTATTTGATATAAGTTGTTTAACACCTCATTTAGTCGGAGTTAACTAGCCATAAAATTTGTTGATTTTCTTTAACTGCTAGATAATGTTTCACAAAAATTACAAACATTTCTGTGAGCTCAATGTATGTAATTGAAATGGTTTCTTTCAAGTCAAAATAATAACATCTGCTTCTTTTCTGGACATTTTTTTGTTGCCATGTCAAGGTCAAGGTCCCCTAGTATTGAAAAAGCTGATGTGCATATAAAAGATTGAATCTGCATTGGCACTTTCAGAACAGAGTGGATCTGGTGAAAATTCGCTGCAATTATTTTGAATTGTTTCTAGATCAATTTGAACCATTTGTACGAGATACATACTTGTAGCTAAAAAATTTACCATTGCAAAATTCGATAATTTAAACAGCAATTAAGAGTTGTATTTTAAGAGACACAGTTCATAAATTCGCACCATTAGGACAAGTGCAAGAGACCCAAACCGTTTCAAATATTTCAAATTGTCTAGTCAACACATCAAAACTTGAAAGAAATGTACTGATGAAGACTTGTAAACTAAGAAATGGATTCATGGGCCGGCTGTAAGCATCCATTGCTCTGTACAGCTACAGCATTGTGGGTATCTTTAATGGTAGCTTTTGTCTACTTCAATTTATCAGCCATTTTGTATCTGACATAGGCCATGATGTCAGAAAGCCACAACAAGTTACCTTGATTGTGTGGGTACAAAAAATTAAGACAAAACAAAGTCTTCTTAATTGGTCATTAAAATTGGGGTATAATTAAGAATGAGAGAAATAGAGTGAAAAAGTTGTTGAACTTTTCTAAGATCTCATTATTAAGACCAATTAAAATGGTGTGAAATATAAAGGTGGGATTTACTGCTATAATGAGGCCCAATTACGCTCTAAAAACTTGGATCATTAACTGAGTTTGGCGTTCTTTTAGTCTTTATTAGAAATAGTTATCAAGTGATAAAATTAAATGGTTTATTTTCGAACATAACTGACCTATTAAAGTGATACTATGTCTTAGAATGAACATAAAATTTAATTCACAAGAATGGTCAATATGAGTATATATTCATCAGTGAACTTATCTGGTGTACAACAAGAAATCCTGTAACATCTAGAAAATTGGAAAATTCATAAAACTAAGTAATTATTGAAAAAACGCTTAATCATCATATTAAGCGTTTTTCAATAGTTAATTGCATTTATATTAAGTTTTTTTGGATTTATTGGATTATATAAGGATCCTGTTATGTTATTTATGACACCAGGTATATCTACTGATGTATATATGCTCTTATTGGCCAATTTTAAAATTTTTAAATTTTATGTTTATTCTAAGACATAGTATCCCTTTAAGAGGACTTTATGTATTTGCTTCTTGGCCACAAAGTCATGTGATTAGATCAAAATACTTAACAGAATGCATCATCCTTACTGGAGACCACCATTTTGTGTACATGGTAATGTTTGCAGAAGCATAATTAAAAAAATTGAAGGGAATAGTCAAGCAGATATATGAAAGATAATATTGGTTCCAGACTTCTTTTGATAGGTTACATAAAACAAATGGTGGTTGTGGGTTCTAATAGCGGTAGTTTTGATGACCTTGAATAAATCATCTTCACTTATAATTCCAATCAACCCAGGTGTAAATAGGGTTGGATAATCTAGGAAAGATCAAGAGATTTGGCCAAGGACCAGATGGTAGAAAGGATCTCGTTTGAAAATTTATATGTGTCCTTGACTTTATTTTGAAATTTTCTATTCAACTTTTCACTCTGAAAAATCTTTAAAACCTGTCATAACTGAGCAAATATCTTGAATTAAATGAAGTGGGACAATGTCTATATATATACACATTAAGAGAGACATAAAATAGAAACAAATATTTTACAAGGATAACAACTTAAGTTCACAGTTAAGGATCCTTTCTACCAGCTGGTCCTTGGCCAAAACCCTTGACATTGATCTTTCCTGGATTATCCGCACCCATTTACATCTGGGTAGACTTGAATTATGACTGAAGATGACTTATTCAAGGTCGTCCGACTTTCACACAACGATCAAGATCGTAACTCACAGCCACCATTTGCTAAGTGTAACAAATGACATCATGTAAAGAACCAACGCTCTAACTGACTGTGCTATAGAACCTTACCTCAATTACTTATAAACTGATGCTTCTATATTATAATGAAGGGACCATGCTGTTTATATTATTTCATTTGTTTATATATCTTACTAATTACTCATTTTTTCCATCACTTGAAAGAGTATCCACTATTGACAGCAACTTTTTAAATAAAAAAAAGAATAATATCAGACCATGAGGATAACATAACTTTTCAAATGGTTTTCAAGCATTTTTGTACCAGAATGTGTATCAAAACTGTTGACTTTCGTTCCATTTTTGTGAAATAAAGCTTATAACTTATATTAAAACAAAGTAGAAATAACATTTACTTTTAAAGGGACAGGTGCGCCATTTTGAGGGGTTGATTTTAGGTTCGAAAATATTAAATAGTCTTCAAAAGTACTAGAAATATAAGAAAATCACGTAATTCCTTCTAAAATATCTCAAACTATTTATATATGTCTTTTCTATATATCACAGAGTATCTTAAATTGATGAGTCGTCATTTTTACATTCAAATACGGATAATTCTGGACACACATGGATTTGAAGGCTTAAATTTCGACTGTGAGCTGTGAACATTATTACTGATTGGCTTAGCAATAAGTTTAAATCATTATTAAAATTTTTTTGCCTTTGAATCTCAATTGAAATTTCCAAAGGTAAGTTATCCGTGACATTTTAAAAAAAAAAATTCTCACAGAAAAACATCTTGATTAACAATTTCTGGTCTCATTATCAACTATTGAGTCAATTCTATTCTACGTTATTAAAAGATGCTTTAAATCTGTCTAATGATTTAGTTTAATGTCTGTTTTCCTTTCAAACTCATTACCTCATCAATCTGGTTAATTTAAGACCACACAAGCTAAAGGAATGCATTAACCATACTAAAGAATGCATTTTTTGACCTCCTTGAAAACTTTGTGGACTAAAATATGTAAATTTTACCTTTCACAACTTGAAAATTAATTGAAGGTTATGTAACTGCATCAGACCTTGGGCTGTACAGCAAAGGTGAGTCAGTAAAGTCTTGATTTTTTAGACCCTTGCACTACAAATTTTGTCCGTTGAAAAAAAAAATTGCTATGTGGTCACGTTATCATTAACTGTGACATGATGGACATTGTTCAAAAGATAATTGCATATGCTGATTTGTCACGTGACTTTTGTCTCCAACTGGCAGCAAATAAGAAAACTGTAAACTGTCATAAAATTTCTTCTAAATAATACCCCATATTTTCAGTCTTTTGATTCTGAACATATCAGTGCTTTCTCACTTAGAATTCATTGACAGATCTTGAAAAGAATGCCCGATCTAGAGTATATTCTAAACATACCATAGATACATAGATTATTATTATGCATAAGGATATAAAAGTATTTATAAAAATTGAGATTTATTTTCCTAACTGCATATTCTGGAAACAATCTGTTCCTAGTCACTTGGGACAGGTATTAAGATATCCTAAATTTAAGATTCTTCCTATTCTCAAAACTATCCAACTATCCTAACTAAATGATCCTATCTTAACTTAGTGATTCTATCCTAACTTAGTGATCCTATCCTAACTTAGGGATCCTTCCCTAACTTAGAGATCCTATCCTAACTTAGCGATCCTATCCTAACTTAGCGATCCTATCCTAACTCAACGATCCTATCTTAACTTAACGATCCTATCTTAACTTAACGATCCTATCTTAACTTTACAAACCTATCCTAACTTAGTGATCCAATCCTAACTTAGTGATCCTATCCTAACTTAGTAAACCTATCCTAACTTAACGATCCTATCCTAACTTAGTGATCCTATCCTAAACCTTTCCTATCTTTACGATCCTATCCTAACTTAGAGATCCTATCCTAACTTAGTGATCCTATCCTAAACCTATCCTAACTCAATGATCCTATCCTAACTTAGGGATCCTACCCTAACTTAGGGATCCTATCCTAACTTAGCGATCCTATCCTAACTTAGTGATCCTATCGTAACTCAACGATCCTATCCTAACTTAACGATCCTATCTTAACTTAACGATCCTATCTTAACTTTACGAACCTATCCTAACTTAGTGATCTAATCCTAACTTAGTGATCCAATCCTAACTTAGTTATCCTATTCTAACTTAACGATCCTATTCTAACTTAACGATCCTATCCTAAACCTTTCCTATCTTTACGATCCTATCCTAACTTAGAGATCCTATCCTAACTTAGTGATCGTATCCTAAACCTATCCTAACTCAATGATCCTATCCTAACTAAGCGATCCTATCCTAAACCTATCCTAACTCAACGATCCTATCCTAACTTAGCGATCCTATCCTAAACCTATCATA